GCAAGAGGTCCAGAAGAACGCCGAACACCTCCACGAACTAGAGGCGTCCATGGTCAGCCTTCGCACTGTGCTTGACTCGTCAGAGAAGCTGGAGGCTTCCTTACGTGGAGAGCTGGATCGTGCGCGCAGTTCTAAGGATGCCGTTGAGAAGGAGCTCGGACAGGCACTTCAATCGAAGGCGGACCTTGAGAGTCAGGTCGATCATATCCAGTCGAGACTCACATGGACAGAAGGCGACCGCAACAACTTGCAGACCAAGATCACCCAACTTGAGAGCGACCTCGGTTCCAGCTCTCAGGCCAAGATTGACCTCGATGCGCGACTCTCCGCTACGACAAACGAGAGTGACTCGCTCAAGGTTCGTATCTCGGAACTGGAGGCTGCGCTCAAAGACAACACCGACGCGAGGACAAAGGCTGAAGAAGCATTGTCGGTTGCACAGCTGTATGGCGAGACGTCTAGCAAAGACCTGGCGGACCTTCGTGAGAGGCTTGAACAGGTTGAAGCTGCTAGGGATAGTGTGCAACAGGAGCTGAGCGACGCGACTCGCTCGAACACAGATCTCGAGACCCAGCTTAATGCAGCGAAGGGTCGCTTGACTAAGGCGGAAGAAGCGTTATCAGCAGCACAGCTCGACGGCGAAGCCTCTAGCAAGGGCCTCGTGGATGTTCGTGGGCAACTCGAAGAGGTGGAAGCAGCTAGAAAGGGGTTGCAACAGGAGCTCAACGTTGTGATCGGCTCCAACAAGGACCTAGAGACTCAGCTCAGCGCAGCGAAGGATCGCTTGATCAAGGCAGAGTCTGAGGTTCAGGACGTACGCTCGCAACTCTCGGAGTTGCAAGATGAGGTCTCGGAACTTCATCGATCGAAACAGCAGCTCGAGGAACACCTGCTGGCCCACAATGCCTCCCACGAAAAGCTCGATGAGGACCTACAGCTTACTCGGTCTCAACTGGAGGGAGTTCAATCTCGGATCCCACAACTTGAGACACGACTAGCTTCCAGCGAAGAGGAGCTCGAAGCTATGTGCCGAGCCAAGGCCGTCACTGAGAAGCGGCTTGAAGAGACGCAGGTTGCCAACGCTAGCTTGGAGAAGGAGCTTGACATTGTGCGAAAGGACAATGAGGAGATCAAGAGTCGACTTGATAGCACTACTATCACCAACGCGCAATTGGAGAGGGATCTCACTACAGCCCGTTCCAAAATGGCAGAGTCGGACGCATACAAGACTGAACTCACTTCCAAGTTAGCTGACGCGGAGAAAGAGCTCGACGGCCTCCGACAATTGAAAGACGATGTCGAGAAGAAGTTGGGTGAAGCGTTGGCTGTCTCGACAAGCACAGAAGAAAGTCTTTCTTCGACTCGCACCCGGCTGAACGAGGTTGAATCGCAGAACGCCTCCATCTCCGCGGAGCTTACCAGAGCGAATGAAGAGTTAAACGCTCTTCAACACGCGAAGACTGAGCTGGAGAGTAAGGCAGACAGCACTGAACAGCAAGTCAGTTCTCTTCAGGATGATGTGACGAATATGCGCTCACGCATAGCCGAACTGGAATCGGACAGCACTGACTTGGTCTCTAAGCTGTCGGTCAACAGCAAAGAGCTGGATGAACTCAGATCAATGCACGCAATGCATGAGGAGTCCTCTCGATCCGCGTCAGATCGCAATAGTGCGCTTGAGGCCGAATTTCGCGCTGCTCAGATGCGGCTGGATATTGCAGAGTCGGAAAGCCTTGAAATGCTCAATGATCTCATTGCGGTCAACGAGGAACTCGGAACTCTTCGTGAGTCGAATGCCACACTTGGCGCTTCTGAGAAAGAACTGTCGGCCCGCCTTATTTCAGCAGAGGAGGAGCTCAAGACCGCACGTGAGAAGAACGCAAAGCTGGAAGCCTTCCTGGAGCGTGTGGAGGCGGACATGGCCGATGCTCACTCCGCCGTCGAGGATACCGAGAGACGCTACCACGAATTCGTGGAAGAGTCGCAAGCCAAGCTGGATGCTGCGAAGGAGTCGAAGCAAAGGTACAAGCGCAGGCTTTCGGAAAGAAACAACGAGCTTGAAATCCTCATCAACGAGAACTCGGACCTGCATCACCAGATCGGCGACCAGACGCGGGAGCTAGGTGCGCTTAAGAAGGGCAAAGGCAAGCTGGTCGAAGAGCTATCAAAGAAGGAAAAGTACATTGAAGAGCTTGGATCTTCTACTGATAGCAGGATAAGATCAATGAACTCGGCATACGACGGTCTCAAGCGGAAGTTTGAAGAGCAGCAGCAACAGCATCGAGAGCTAGACGGCAATCACGATAACGCCGTTCGTCTAGAGGCCGAACTGGAGAGGAAGATGACTGAGATTGAAGAGATGCGACACCATCAAGACGAGTACGCGGCATCATTCACTGCGCTCGAGCAGGAAGTAAAGGCGCTGCGAGACGACAAGCGCGCCTTTGAGACATTGATCGCGACCTTGCAAGATAAGATTAGACATTTGGAGGCCCTGGAGGAGTGGAATGAGCCGAAGGAGAACAAGGCGTCGAGCGAACTCCATCGCACTTCCTCGCCCCGCCACATCACCATCCATGACGGCCCTTACGACACTGCTCCCTCGAGCCCCATCTCGTCTCATACCAGGAGTTCGATCGGACACATCAGCATGCAGCACGAGCGGCCGCAGACAAGCGCGAGTACCGTCTCTCACGAGGGTGATCCCGAGTCCTGGGGCCTGCGGATAGAAAAGATACGCATGCAACGCGACGACGCAGCCGTCCAACTCAAGGGTATGAAGAAGTCGCGACAAAACCTCAAGAAGACTTTGCGGGACACAGACGCGCAACTTCATCGGATGGAGAAGGAGACCAAGACGTAAGCACTGTCTACCAATACCCCAATGATGAAGACCGCCAGCTAACAAACCCCAGTAAACGTCCCCAAAACCTCCTCCGCAAGAAATCCCGTCCTATGACACCCAACCCCCTCACCGCCTCACCCGACCTATCCCGCAACACACCCTCCCCGCGCATCGGCAGCGCACCCCAAACACCCGACCGTCCTAAGACCTCCCACGCAATCTCCTCCTTCTCGCCTCGTTCCACCGTCAACGCCAATTCGCGACATAGCACTTACATCGCTCCCACCGCTCCTATGACGCCTGAGAATAAAACTGCGCCTTCTACGCCCGAGCGACCCAAGACAAGTCATAGTATCAGGCATAGACTGAGTTATAGACCGACGACTAGTGCTGGGGTTGGGGGAGAGGAACATGTACATAAGAGTCATGGGCATGTGAGGAAATGGAGTTCTGGGTTGAGGAGTTTGTTTCATAAGGATGGGTGAGAGGTAGCTGTTTTCTTGCTTTCTCGTCTTTTGACTTCTCGTTGTGTATATCTTGTTTCCTTTTTCTTTGGCCCAGGCTGGCTTTTCGCTTCGTGTTCTTATTGTTTGTGTTGTAGTATACTTTTGTCTTGACTTTTCTGTTCGCGTTATTCTTTTGTTTATGTTGATATTGTGCATTCTTGAGATACCAAAGGATAGGGCTTATGGAGGGGGGTAATGGGTTCTTTCTAGGGTATCGTGAGTGGTCTTGCGGTCGCAGGCACGAGTAGATGCATGTCTGTATAGTTACCTACGTATATATTTGGCATGTAGATGGGACGTGAATACGCTATTACTTATCATCAAGATTACGAGCGTTGATGCATTAGACTGCATTGTGTATTGCACTACCACGATTTTGAGCTCAGAAGAGGATCTTCGAATTGCTATACATTGCTGGATCCATACTTCTACGCATCGCAGCAACGATAAGATACTTTATATTGACACTACTTTAGAGCATTAGTCATCGTTGATTCGAGCGTGTGGAGTGGCCGTTGCCTTTACGGTTTCGCCTTGTCCGTGCACTAGCCCGCTATACTTATCAGGTAATTATTAAGTACTCAAAGGCCCGCCCAACAGCTCACTGGATCGTAGGAACCACGACAGCTACTACACACCATTAAGCTTCAACATGTCCACACCCGCCTTCCTGGCCCTGCCAGCCGAAATTCGCGTCAACATCTACAACCACATCTCGCCCGTATCCACCTCCCTCGCCTCCTACTCCGGTCTCCTCCAAACATGTCGCCTCATCCGCAAAGAATGGAGACACGAAGCAAAGAAACGAATATCCGAAGAATACACCCAACTCCAAACTTTCCTCGCCATCCACAACATACGCATCCTCACGTCTGCCCGAGATCCATCAAAAAGATCAAAGCTCGTACTCCGCCTCCCACCACTGGACCCCACGGCAGGTACCACCAGGCTGCCAAATTTCCTTCCCTGGCACTGGTCCTGGATAACAACCGTCGTCATCATCTTTGGCAACGAGTGGCCGCGGAATTACGGATCGCAACTTGCCATGTACGACCTGTACTGCGACACGTACACGGTGCTGTGTCGAGATATCCTAGCCAATACTGCACGTACTATTCCAGAGTACAGCAGTAAGTTGTGCGAGACGACAAACCATCGGTCTAGTATCAGGCACATCAGTCTGCGCTGGTACAATGTTCCCCTGGATACGCGGGTTGGCCCATCACGATTTGGTATCATACCGGAGCCTTGGCTGAGGTATGGCGAGGACTTTGAGTATGCCTTGCGTCTATGGGATATCTGTACTCGGCATTATTTAGAGCAGGGAATTGGTTGTTTTAGTGTGACTTGGCGGCAGAGGAGCTGGAAAGATGTTCCAATGTGGTACTGGGTATCTCGTGGAATCGGGCGGTTTTCTTACAAAGTCTTACGAGCGATATGTATTGTTGCTGCCGTGTGGAGTGGCTTGTCGATACTGGAATTGTTGTACACGGAGTATATTCGTGCTTAGTGGTAGTTCTCTGCGGACGTTGGAGATGAATGTACGGATTTGCAAGATGAGCCTTTTCATCATACATCGTGTCCTCCCGCCTTGATGCACTTCTTTCCCCCCTTTGGTATCTCCTCATATCTCCCATACTCTCCGCCTCTTACCATGGTTGTGTCACCAGCTGCTGTACTATCTCTTCATTGAACTCTTTTTCTAACCTCTCTACATCCTCCTCCGTCGCCTCCTCCTCCTCGTCTTCTTCCTTAGTCTTCGCCGACCCCCAAGGCTCCAACCCTACACCCCACCAATCCGTCTTGAACATTGAATCCCACCCCTTACTCTCAATTGCCTTCTTCTTAAAGCTCTTTGTTGACCTACGCACCCTTCTAGCCAGGCTCGTTGTAAACTCTTCTTTGTGGAGCAATGTGTTTGAGGCCAGTCTGTGTAGCTCCTTTGGCGGGGCTGCGCTGTTGAACTTTCGCCAGAGCACTGTTTCGGAGAAGGTGACGTGTTTGTCTTTGAGGGGTATGTATTTGGATGGAGGCGTGCGCCTGGCCCAAGGTTCGCGGTTCAGTGTTGATTTCATGGACTGGAGGTTTGTGCAATGGGTCCGCTTGGCCACTTCTCCAGACCACGTCTTTCCGTCTTTTAGCGCATCCGCAATCTCCTTCTTCAAACTCGCAACAAGATCCAAGAGCGGCCCATGCCGTTCCGCAATCAACGGCCAATATCTCTCCGCCGCAGTCCTCCAATCCCTACAGGGGTACTTGGATTGGTGTTCACACCTCATCTCTATCCTTCTCATACTGCAATGCGCATCGTAAAAATCTTCCACGCAAGCTGCTTCATCTTTGTAGCCCTTGGAACTATACACGAGATCCTCGAGCGTCTTCAAGATTTGCTTTTGTTGTTTCTTGATGCGTCGCAACGTACACGACGCGTAGAATTCTGAGGTGCTGTGAGGGAGACGTATGTCTTTACTTTGTTTCCCTATTAACTCTTGCAGCGTTGTGCAGATTTGTATAAGACGTTCTGCTTGATCGCGTGTGATGTGCATGCCGGCGATGCGCGCCTTGGGTGCTTTGGATGCTGTGAGCGCCTTGGATGCGTTCGGCGCTTTATTTGTCTTTGTAAACCAAGACATAAGGAATGTGTGAAGGTAATATATATAAGAGAGGGATTGTTGCGCGCATTGCTTTATTGCGCGGCTTGGTGAGGTGGGTTGGGGCGGATTCGGTACCCTAGGTGGGATTTTGATGCGAGCCAGTGAGGAAGAGCGCATTATGGTGGAAGGGGCTGTGGTTTGGTTGGTAGGTGGAGGTGCGGCTTGCGTGTGAGCCAGGAGGCGATGTGTCACTTGCACGTTGCGAATAATGAGATAATGCAGGGGCGGTGCGAAGCTAGTTCTTTTGCGCATTGTGAAAACGGGCTGTTGAGTGTGAGATGCGGGAAAGGGTCTTAGAAGACGGGCGCCTGTGAGACAATCTGGTTTAGGGAACAAACAACAAAAAGAGCAAGCGAATATGATGTGTCAAGCACGAAACTTGACTGCGTTGATGTCAGTGTCGCTCTGCTGGCTGTCAAATGTGAATAATACTGGTCGAATTAGAACAACGTGATTACATGCCTCTGCGCTCACATCTTCGCCCTATCGCCATGGTCCGCATTCACAAGAACATAACGATACCGTGCATGTCCCTCCTCCATATCAACCACACTCTTATTCGCATCCTTCATGCTGCGCTTCTGCACCCAAGGCTTAATCCCCTTGTCCGCCGCGAACTGAAGCATCTCCTCAATCTCCTTGGGACTGCCAATCTGGCTACCCCCGATCTTGCATCCCTTGCCAATAAGACCGAACGCAGCGATTTGAGGAAGCTTGTCTTCTGGTGCGCCGACCTGGATGAACGAACCGCCTGTACGGAGAAGTCGGAGATAGGACTCGAGCGGCATGTCTGGAGAGGAGACTGTGCTGATGATGAGGTCGAGGGATCGGCTGTGGTTACGCGCCCACTTGTCGTCTTCGGACGTCGCGATGTAATCCGTTGCGCCCATAGCTTTTGCGTCGTCGACCTTGTTTCTCCGTCGGCTTATCGCTACGACTTTCTCGCAGCCGAGTGCTTTCGCGAACAAGACGCCGAAATGGCCTAGACCTCCCAAGCCTACGATTCCGACCTTCTTCCCAGGACCTGCGCCGTTGTTCTTCAGCGGCGCATAGACGGTGATGCCGCCGCACATCATAGGCGCTGCTTCTTCGCTCTTCAATCCAGCGGGTATCTTGATAGCGAAATGCGCTGGGACGCGGACATAGTCTGCATATCCACCCATGCTCCAGCTTCCATCCGGGTATTTCGCATTGTATGTACCCACCATCTTGGGACAATGTTGCTCAATGCCTGCGCTGCATTCCTCACAGTCGTCCTTCAAGCAGCTGAACGCCTGCGCGCCGACGCCCACTCTGTCGCCTAAGCGCAAGTCCTTGACTTTGTCTCCCACACGCACGACGTTTCCGACGATTTCGTGGCCGACGCATACGGGATAGTGGGTTGCGCCCCAGCCAGATCGCAGGGTGTGGATGTCGGTGCCGCAGATGCCGCAATGGGAGACTTTGATGTCGATGTCGATGGCGTTGAAGGGCTTAGGCTTGAAGGATGACCATGTCATGTTGCCTTGTGCCGCATTCTTATCGTGGCCCAGCCAGCCGTGAAATTCGGGAGGAGAGGTCATCTTCGTTTGGGGGCGGGATCTCTAACACTGGAAGGCGGGGTGAGGTAATTTGAGCTGGTGAGTACACTATTCGAGGAATTGATCGTAGTGTTAGCTATCAAGAAATGAACGGCAGTAGATGTCGAGCGTTGTCGCGCATCGCGCAGCTAGGACCGAGGATGGCCGACGTCATGGTGTTGGGACAATGTTATCCGAGGCATCTCGCCGGAGCCCTGGACACCAGATGAGGGGTCTACGGCTCATGAGAAAGAACAACCCCCATCATCGCGAAGAGTCACGATAGATTCAGCGGCGCGATATCGTGTCTCTGCAGGTGTCGAGAACGATCTTGTCCTCGGCTCCAACACTTCTCTGGCTTCCCGTTGCAAACTTCGCATACCTTTTCATCGTGTAAACGGGCCACAATGTTGTCTAGCAGCGGTCCTCGTCCAACGCACAGCACATTATACAACGGCCTACGCACACGGCGAGTAGTGACGTCTCTGGTGACCATCTTCTGTTTGTATATAATATTCGCCCAATGTAGCCACCTGTGTTGCTTCGGGTGCTGAACGACTCGGAGAGTAACGTTGACACTGGAGAAACAGGCGCTCCATTCTGCCGCAAGGTCCGCGACGTCTAGATGAGCCCAGCTATGGCTCCCTCGTAATGTGTAGACGGATGGGTAGAGTGAAGCGAACTTAGCAGTATTAACGCTCGTTAGGTGGAAGGATACCAGGCGGAACTCTTGAAGCAGCTCGTCCTAAGAGCTGTTCGCTGATGTCGCACCATCTATCCCCGCGAAAAGAATTAGGACTCGTATAGCCCAACCTGCGAGTTTCTGGACATGACCGATGGCATCCATACACATCCGACGATACCCTCGACAGTCGCCAAGTTGACTGAAAATTGTGAGAGCGGAGGTGACGTGTCCCAAGTTGTATGGAATCCAGATTGACGTGTATGTGTCCTCATGGAGAACCGTTTCGACGTCCTTCATTGCATGCGGCTCGGGCAGACGGTTGTACAAATGCTCCCAGTATTGATAGAGGGCTTGTGCTCTTTCGTACCACTCAATCGCTGTATCGCTAAACCCGCTGTTCTCTCTGCGATGATTACTCTTCCTGCAAGCCACGAGCACAATATCGTAGACTTCGTTGACGTCGTCTGAGTTGTCTGCGACGTGCACGTCGCTGCCGAAGAGAGCTAGTTCCTCGGGTGTGCTCGGCAAATGGAGAGCGGTGTTGTTGAATACAGGCAGGTCAGGGTACTCGGCGCGGTTTGGTACCTAGGTAGAGTCGGAACGCCATCTACAATCTGGAAACACTTGTTGTACGCGGGACTTCGCATGGTCCGCCAACTTGGGTCATACCTAGGTAGACAGCTGAGGACCGTGAGTACTGCATGTGCACTGTCGCGCTAACCCGCGACCATCAGTCAGCAGCTCTAATGCCCGGGCATATCGGCAGCTCAATGTGATATACTCCTGGGTATCTTCTTGGCTTAATTACACCAGCGTCCAATTCAGACACAAGACATTAACTGCTAAGATTGAGGCGATCACGAGACCGCTTAGAGATCTGTTCATTCATGCTACTGTACATTACTACGACGCGATGCATTGATATAACGCGAGAACCAAATCTACCAACCCCTAAGCCTCGGTCTTCTTCATCCCCTTGGTAAAAAGCGGACTCTGCTTAACGCGTTCCCAATCATGAAGCATCATGGTATTTGCCGTGCCATCCCTAACCTCCGTACCCCCACGCCTAATCATCTCCTCTTCAAACGCATCAACCGCAGCTTTCCTGTCCTCGCCAGCCTGAATTTTAGTAATCGCTTCGTACAACTTGCCAGCGTCTGTAACAGAGTGATTGAGGCCCTGACCTCGCTGGTACGTCATCGGATGCACAGCATCGCCTACCATAGTAATTAAGCCGCGATGGTTATCCCAGCGATGGCCCTCCATGCCCGGGTCCCAGTCCGTGAGCCCGAGATACCACACCGGCGTGCAGTCTGGCGTCCATTCAAACGCACTCCTCCACGGGTCGCAGAACTCTTTTGCGAATTCTTTTTGTTGCGCGAGGCGCTGGGCACCGGTCCAGTTCCTGGTGGCTTCCTGCTCTTTCAAACTACTTCGCCACGAGATGTAGTAGAAGAAGGTCCAGGAAGTCGGGTCATCTTCGTCCGGCGCATCATGCATGCCGAAGAAGGCGAAGTTGTTATTCGGGTGCGCACATGCTAGATACAGCGGGTGGAATGACCGCAAGAAACGGGCTTGCTCGGCGGTAAACTTGCACTGGACAAACGTGCACGCATACGGAATGTGGTTGATGGAGCCCAATTCCCTCCCGAGGAGAATCTGCCTGGTGGAAGAGCGTGCTCCATCCGCGCCAACCAGCATGCGTCCCGTCGTAGAGGTTCCGTCGGCGAAATGGGCAGTGACTGAGTCATCATCAGGTGAGTATGAGACGTCGTGTAAGCGCTTGTCGAAGTGTATGTCAAGGCCTTGCATTAACAAGTCGCGCAACTTGCTCCTCCGTAAGCGGTAGAAAGGGCCGAAGGTGATGGCTGCAACCAGCGCTCCGGTATCGCCTCGTAGCCACTTCAACGTGTCCTGCTCTTTCGTGGGGACATTCGGGTCGACCTGGACGCTCTGGATGCGGTCCCACCAGCCATCTGGCATGAGGCTTTTCAGGACTGGCGCGCCCCAGTGAAGGCCCATGTTCCAGTCGCGCTCGCCATGCGTGGCAGCGTTCTTCTCGAACACGACGCACGGGATGTTCGCCTAGTTGTTCGAATGAGGCTACTCTTTTGCATTACACAGACGGTGTACATACTTTGCGGAGCCCCTGTGCGAGTGCAAGTCCAGCGGTTCCTGCGAGCTGGTCAGACCGTGTGGTGCAGCATGTATGCGGCGTCACCGTCGCTTACCAGAGCCAATGACGAGGATAGGGAGCTGCGCCGCAATGGCTTCGCCGTCGGCAGTTGGTTTTTCCATGTCAAGTCGCCTGAGATCATCGATGGACTTTGGTCATACTCTCAACCTGTTCTTCGTCTTCTACAACAAAGTTCGAGTATCCACTGTAGAGGTGCTCTTGGCCCACCCTCTCCAACCCGTCCCGCCTGCCAAAAGGGCCGATTAGACAGCGGCGATGAAGGGAATGACGCCGTTTGCGGCCCGCAAATGAGCCAGTCCATCAATCACGAGATGCATTCATCGGCACCCTCCTTTTCGACGTTGTTGGCAGGCTCGCCAATGGCCTGACTGCCTCGGACACCCAGAGTCTTCGTACAACGTCGGTAGAGTGCCGCCAGCACGCGCTTACCCCGACGCCTCTAACAGCCATGCAGGCGATGCAGCACCGTTCCTTTTGCGCGTGCATTACACGCGCATCAACGAATGGCAGCGACCGGAGCAGACGACCGATCCGCTGGATCTACTCGGGGATGCTGCGCGAACGCGGCGCCATCGGTGCAATGCTCCACTTTGCCAGAGACCCCTCGCCCATTGACAGACGCCTCCAAACGAGAGTCAGCGGCCGGCCAGCGTCCAGCAACTTCCCAGTGCATCGGCTCCAACTCTCCAATATGTAACCCGTCGTTTCCGGGCGTCGCGTCGATATCTCCCCCTCCTCCCCGCCGCGCACTCTCACGACAGCACCATGGCGTCTTCATCGTCCCCGAAGCCTTTCGAGGGCATCGGCTTGCACCAGCAGGATAGCGCCGTGCATCTAGGAGACGACGCGCCTTCCTCCAGCTCGTACCCACAACAACACGCCCCCGTACACCACGCAGCGCCACAAGACTCCGAGGCCTCCCCCGTAGACGACGACGATGGCCTTGGCTTCTCGTCCGACTCAGCCTTCGACAGCGGCAGCCTCCTTGGCGACGAGACCGATTCGCTAGCCTCGTCCATCCTCCACCACCGCATGGAGAATGGACGTCAGTACCACGCATACCGCGACGGCGCATACTGGGGCCCGAATGATGAGCTGGCGAAAGAGATACTGGACTTCGCGCACCACATGTACCTCCTGACGCTCGACCAGAAGCTGCATCTTGCGCCGCTGGTTAATCCACAGACGATATTAGATTGCGGCACAGGAACCGGCATATGGGCAATTGTACGCTGCCCAGCCATATCCCCCAACACAGGCTAATAATACATGTACAGGACATGGCAGACCAATACCCCTCAGCAACAGTAACAGGAACCGACCTCTCCCCCATCCAACCCGAATGGGTCCCGCCAAACTGCCACTTCGAAATCGACGACGTCTCGCTCGAATGGACCTTCCCGCCCAACCACTTCGACTTCATCCACATCCGCGAGCTCTTCGGCTGCATCCCAGATTGGGACTTCTTCTTCCAGCAAGCCTACAAGCACACTAAACCAGGCGGCTGGATAGAAATAGTAGAGCACTCCGTATGTCCTACATCCGATGATGGGTCAATGGGCCCAGACCACTTCTACCATACCTGGGGGAAAGTGGTGGTGGAGATGGGCGATCGGTTTGGCAAGACGTTTACGATTTGGGAGGAGAGTGCTGAGAGGATACGACGAGCCGGGTTTGTGGATGTGACGGTTATGGAGTATAAGTGGCCGATGAATGGGTGGCCAACGGATAAGAAGTTGAAGAATATTGGGCGGTGGAACCAGCTGAGGTTGATGGATGGGGTCGAGGGGTTTATGTTGAGGTTGTTGACGCAGGTTGGCGGTGTGAGTATTGCTGAGGTTGGCGTGGTGGTTTAAGCTGACATGATGCAGTGGTCTGTTGCACGAGCTCAACTGCATCTAGCGCAGATGCGCAAGGAGTTGAAGAGTTACCGGACTCATGCGTACTTGCCTGGGACTGTCGTCTACGCGAGGAAACCCATCAAGTGAAAGATCGGCACGTTGCATCGACCTCACACTTCGAGATGCGACTCCATACTCGGGCTCAGCTCTTCTAACTACTCCAAGACGGATTAGCTTGACTGCAATCACAACGACTATTACGGGTAGTTCTGGAACGAGCGCGCAGTTTTACCCATCACGCACATAAACCAAGATGATGACCCAGAAGGAAGCTTGTCATTAGATATCAGATCTACGAAGATCGTGATCCTTTTTGGGAAAGGAAGACCAGGAGCCGCCTTCAGTTTCGGACGTGAACCCGAAACCCCGCAGTCTCATCCAGCTTCCAACATCTTGGTCAGAATTACCATCATCGCTCATACCGACACTCGACGTCCCCTCACCCTTAAGTGCGTGGGCAGTCGACGGACTTGCACCTGCCGCAGTTATCTTCCGCAGTGCTCGCGCACAGACACAGAGCCTTGCATATCATATCGTCGGCGCCGCACTTCTTGCTACATTCGTACCCAGCATCGCGGCAAGCTTTGCAGTGTTCGCTGTTGACGTCGTCGTCGTCGCTTCCCTCCCGAGCGTTGGCAGCGGCAGCGACTTGCTCATAGTCGGCAGTCTCCGGGCCAGCAAGAGCAATGTCGTGGTCGGTGAACTCCCATTGATCGCAATCTTGAGGAGCCTCGACGCAGCCTGTGGTAGAGTTAGTATAGATAGAATTGGAATGAAGCTCTCGCTGAGCTAGAGTGTTATCACGTACCTTTTTGACGACAGATCGACTTCGGGTTCGAGTGCAACATGCAGGCGCAGTAACCCTCGCAATGGGGACCATAGCCGCACGCCTTGAGGCAATACGGCAAGGCCTCGGAGCAGCCCTGTGTTGCGCAGGTGTTATCGTCGCCGTTGACATCAGCAGTCTGAACAAAGTCCTCGGGAGCGTCTTGGTTGTAATTGATGGTTCCAGGGTCGACCTGAGCAGCAGTCTCCGACGAAGCCTCCTCAACAGTCGCAGACGCAGCCTGATCAACGGCCGCAGAAGTATCTTCGTCTCGGCGAACTTTGCCACTGAGCTCGTACTTCTCACAACCTTTAGGCCCTGGCTTCTTGCACGCTGTAATCTGTGTTAGCGAAATATCCAAACTCCCACTCCACGGCTGCCGCAGGGTATCAGCTGTTTCACCTACTCGGATCATTGTTGCACTTGATGTTCTTGCCTAGAAGCTTGTACACCTTGCACTCGCAATAGTGCGCGCAGTGAGGACCGTAGTTGCACGCGACAACGCAATCTTTCACGACATCCCTGAAGTTCCTCACGTCGCTCTTTTTATCGTTGTTCGCGCTTGCGAGAGCGGCGAGGCTGACGACTAGGAGGAAGATGGTGGTGAGGAAGCGCATGGTGATGGGTTAACTGTTCGTGGGTCAAGTTGCGTTGGTGGGGAAGGGGAGGTGGGAGGCAGGCGGAGGCGCGGTGGAAAGAGCTTTTTGACTGAGGAGGTGAGAGCGCAGTGGTGTATTTACGTCACCGCTTGACGAGCGCTTGCGCGTGGGGAAAGCGCTGCCTAGGTGGGTGGATCTTGTGGAACGCTCGTGCGTCGCGTATGAGTGAAGGTGAATGGAAGGTGCGCCCTGCGCGCGAACGATAGTGGCCTCTGGACGACACATAATTTGACGCAGTCGAACAAGTATGAGGCTCTGGGACTCCTCGCACCGGAACATCGGATTCCGCGCCGAAGCTAAAGATGAGTATGACACACGAATCCTCGTCGGCGTTTCGATGTTATCTACCCTTTCCCATGTCGCGTAACTCGACACTCGGCTCTCTTTTCACTACAACCTCCTTCCGCACCCAGATATCGGCATCCTTATCTCCTTTCGTAGAAGATGGGTTGCGACTTCGCTGACAAGAGATCTCTATATAACTTGACAAATGCCCTGTAACACCCGCGGATGTGTAACCTGACATCGTAGCAACACCCGCATGCTGTGCGCTCCACAGGCCCGAGTCGAGGCTCATCATGAATGGCTTCAGGAATGGGATGGTCGAAGTCATTATACTGGCCACTTGCACTATTTGTCCGCAGACGACGATGTGCCATATTGAGTGGAGAAGATCGCCGTGTTGGGGTAAGGTGCGGATGTATGCGATTTGGGCGGCTGAGGCAAAGACGACGCTGTGATCATTCGTGTTAGTACAAGCGGAGTGGTAAGGCAGTCTTGACAAAGCGTAACACGACTTACACTATGCGTGACCAGAAGCCTGTGATGAGCGTGAAACGTTTTTCCTGGGTAATCTGCAGCGGTAGGACCATCAGTGTCGGTACACCGGCGAGCGCAAGATCAGTCACGATGTTCATGACAGCATTGTAGGTGCGTACGGCGCGCTGAATGGTATTAGCTACTGATTTATACCAGGAAATGCAGATGATCAAACTTACGAGGTCCATACACCTCGGGTTCGTGATATCCCATCTTTGCGGAGACGGACATTGGAAGGCGATAAGGAACACAGCGCTCAATCCCCATAGCACCGTCAAAACACCTGTAGCGCGCATCATCCTCCTGTGTGTGTCGATAGGCGTTACTGACGCCAGCGAGACGAGCAAAGAGCCTTTGGCGGCAACGATCGTAAGAATGCTCAGAATCTCGCTGCTGAATAGAGCCTGACGCTGTTAGCCTTGCGTTACAAAGTCTCCGCAATCTATACCTTCCAGGCCCCATTAATTTGATCCGGTTCGAGGCCAGATGAAAGATTCCCAATCGGCTGGCCCGCTGGACTGAGGAGAGTCGCTGCCTGCCCTGCTGCGAAGACCTGCAATGCTGTTTATCAATGTACGTAGTCATACTTTTCTTCCTCAAGTACATACCAAGGCCACTAGGAGCACAAAGTCGGCTTTGACAAAACGCTTTGACATGGCTTTCTTGGTCGCAAATTGCGCTACGACTGCTAGTATCGAGAAGGCAAGGAAAAGCCATGCGAGGATCTGAATCAATGGTGCTGCATAGCCTTCGTGGAACGCAGGACGCTTGCCAGCATCCATAGCCTTACGTTTGGAAAACATGATGGTTTACGTTTCGGAGTGTAGGGCTGAGCTGTCGTGATGGTCGACCGCGAGGTCATGGCGTTCATGATATAATCCAACACGAAGAACCCAGCTTTTCCTGTCGTTATCTCTGCGCCTCAATCCAACACGCTGTAATTCCATGGTGCCCACGGACGTCTCAGGGCGAAATACATTATGTGGTCCTGCTTCCATCTCACCTTGGAGCTCTTTCATCGAAGATTCCCAGACCCGCTCGGCTGGTATCACACCCACGTAGGCGTGTGAAAATGCTCCTTTCGAGAGCTTGCATGTACGATTAGCTAGCATACGCAAGGGTATGCAAGAAGCTTACTTCTATAGTACTATCACCCCGAAAGGCTTGCGTATGCTTCGCAAGCATATTATGATGTTCCAACGTTGTGATAGGCCGCTTAGAAGATCTGCGCCACATGCGTGCAGACATCCATGCCAGACCACCAATCAGCCGGAGAGCAGACCATGTGCACATGTCGATAAGACGCAAAGAGGAAGGCAGCGGTAAATGAGCCTTGCGGGACATGCCGTGGGTGTTTGTGCGACCATGGCGGCTGCTTCAGACGTCAATGCTTAGCCAATGCTAAGCCTCGCTCGGGACGGTAGCGTCCGCGGCACCTAATCCAGCTTCCACCCGGATCCTGCAGGATGCGGATTTGACAGGGCTCCTTTCATTGAGGTAAGGGTCCGATTGTTGCGCTGGGAAGGAAGACCTGGGGACTCAAAGCCGGTTCAAGCTGTGTAAATCGTGTATGTGGTACTGAGCTAAAAGTATACTTCATGTGTATGCGAAATCGCGAAGCTGGCTCTTGTGTTCGAATATAAATAAAATTGCGCACAGAAGAGCAGACTCGAGCCATCGTGGGAACGCCGTTATCAAGACCCCCGCGCGGCATGCAGTGCGGCAGAGAATGCGGCACAGCATGTAACCTGCTGCATGTTTTTAGCGAGACAATCTGGATGAATCCTCGCGTAACCGACGTTTGAACGCGACGACGTGCATCATAGCTAGTTTAAGTGCCTGCATTTACTTTTTGTTTGCCTCGCACCCATTGCAGTGTTCGTTCCTATCTCTTCTGTTTGATTGCCTCTGTACATACCTCATCCGAAGCCATGGAACTCGGCAACCGAACGAAAGCTGAAGCTGTCACTTCGGCCATGGAGGACGCAGAGCATGATGGTTACACTCGAGATGACAGGGATCTCATGCGGCTGGGCAAGAAGCCTGTGCTAAAGCGTAACTTTGGCTTCATGCAGATCTTGGGTTTCGTAAGTTTGGGTATATGGGACGCGTGAAATACACTGACTTTGTCTTTGTAGTCATGTACTGTGCTGGTGACTTGGGAAGGTATCCTCCAAGTTTCGACTCCCAGTCTTCTCAATGGTGGCCCCGCAGGTGTCTTCTGGGGCTATATACTTATATGGATTGGTTCGTTATCCATCTATACGGTTCTGTCGGAGTTGTCGTCGATGGCGCCCACGGCGGGTGGGCAGTACCAGTAAGAAACCCGATCATGACAATACTCGTGGCTGACATGCTCCTAGCTGGGTTGCTATGTTAGCCCCACCATCGTACAGAAGGTTTCTAAGCTACATCACCGGATGGGTGACACTCATTGGCTGGCAGGCCACTACCGCTTCTTCTGCATACCTTGCCGGAACCATCCTGCAGAGCACAATACTCATGTGCGACGAAAGCTACTCGCCAAAGCCGTACCAGGCGATGCTGCTCGGCTGGGCTGTGCTCGCCTTTGCGGTCATCATCAACACGGTCGGAAGCAAAACACTCGCACACTTCGAAGGATTGATCTTGATACTCCACATCCTGGGCTTCTTTGCAATCCTGATCCCGCTTGTGTATCTCGCTCCTCATAGCAATGCCTCAATCTTCACCACATTCGTCAACACCGGGGGCTGGTCGACGCAGGCGCTTTCGTTCATGGTCGGGCTTCCATCATCCGTGTTCGCCCTGGTTGGTGAGTATTTTTCCTGATGTAGTGACGGGGCCAAGATCGATGCTAATTCAGATAGGTGTTGATTCATGTGTGCACGTAAGTTGCTCTTCCGCCGATCGGTTGCGGTCGTGCTAATCCAAATTTAGATGGCCGAAGAAGTCAAGAACGCGTCTAAAGTCGTTCCACGAGCTATCCAGATCAGCGTATTGCTGAATGGCACACTTGGTCTTGCGATGTTGATCGCGTATCTGTTCTGTCTTGGGGATCTGGACGATGTTCTGGCGTCCTCAGCAACACTCGGATACCCCTACCTATACGTGTTTTTGAAAGGTACCGGCTCAGCTGCTGGGGCTGCGACCATGGCTATGATCATGTGGACCCTCGGCGTCTGCTGTCTGGTGGGCCTCATGGCTGCGACTTCACGACAGATGTGGTCTTTCGCGAGAGACAACGCTATGCCGTTTTCTGCTCAAGTCACCAAGGTGAGTAGCTCTCCCAGTTCACGCAGCCGTCTTGATGCTGACCCTCACAGCTCAATCCTCGAACGCTCATTCCCGTCAACACGATCCTCATCACTGCTGTCATCAGTGTGCTTCTGTCGTTCATCGCACTCGGCTCGTTTGTCGCCTTCAGTAACATCGTCAACCTCAGTATCGGCGGCCTCTACGCTTCATACTTCATCGTCTGCGCCCTGCTTCTGTGGCGACGTCTCAAGGGCATCAGTCCCTACAACGCGCGAGCTGCGATGGTAGGACCAGAGTCGCTGCAATGGGGCCCTTGGAAAGTCCCGGGTGCGTTTGGCGTCGCCAACAACATCTTCGCCTGCGTCTATCTGTTCGTACTGTGGTTCTTCTCGTTCTGGCCGGGCTCGGTCAAAGTGGATGCGCAATCAATGAACTTCAGCTCAGTCACGTTTGGAGGGACCGTGCTATTCGCCATCGTCTGGTATTTTGTAAGAGGCAAGAAAACATATGTCGGGCCCATCGTTGAGGTAGCCTTGTAGTACTTCGGCGGAATGGCGACTTTTGGTAAAGATAGAGCACAGTAGCTTGAGCTGGCTTTCGTTTTCCCTTTCAGCATGCGGAAGGCACAACAGAGCCCGGAGTGCCGGTGCGACGAGAAAGAGAGGCGGTGCCATCGCGATAGATAAATTGATATCGATAGAATGAAAGCGGGATAGCAAGCCCTACGTGCCTAGGTCGATAGCGATGTTTGTGATGCTTCGTGTGCCTGACGAGACCCGCGTCATTCTCGTGTCTCGCTTAGTCATACGCGCCAAGAAAAGGCCAGTGCGCGGTCATCTCTCGTGCCCTGGAGGTGCGCAGCAGGCGTCACTCTACTGCTAACTGAATTCGGTGTCGGCCCCATAACACGTCGTCATTGAGCGAGCTCGCGGTGCTTGAGCTTCCCCGGCAAGCGCGAACAGTTGGCACAGGTCAAACGACATAGATATAATTTTGTGTTTATCTACATGTTTACTCACATGAACCCCATGCGGGGGAGATGAAATGCTTAGCACAAGTACCGCCATAACCGTCGCCTCTTATCCCTGCCAACGCGTCACTCGTCACATCACCTACCACGCATCGCTATACAACCCCCTATACTCCTCACGAACGCGTGTGCATGCTGCTTCCGCGATACTACGACTCGTCATTGTGTAGAACCTGTCTCAATCGCCTCACGCTCGCAACACTTACGGCCCATGGTCAAGGCTGGTTGCAGAGTCCGCTGCGTGCCGAGGAACATGCGCACCGTGTTCATGACCGGAAAGAGTGGTTAAAGGGATGTTGTCTGATGGCTGTGGCGCAGTGTCGGAGGAGGCAGAGCTACTCGCGCCATCCGATGGATGTTGAGGATCACGCGTAACCATCGATGCTCCTATGCCGGAGTCGCCGGTCGACGGTGTCGAAGTGCCAGATGATGAGTTTGGTGAGGTACGTCCCTGTTCGACCTCGCCATCTGGATCGGGTGGTCCATCACCCCCATTTCTGGTCACCAACCACTCGGTAAAGACTTTGAATAGCTGCCACGCCGCCTGCAAGAGCACCAAGTCGGCGATAACAATCGAAAGGATCAGATCACCGGTAGATTTTAACTGCGGCACCTGGCAATAGTATTGCTGCCTGATGACCGAGGGAACAACGCCAAGAGGACCACTGGTCGAGCGCTGGGCGTCGAAGGGAACGCGCTCCGGGCCGAATCGATCGATTGACAGGTATTCGTGTATAGTGGTAAAGTTTGCCGTAAAATACTCAAGTGCTGTCTCATTGGCGAGGATGTTTGGCGTCTCGACCTGTCCCAAGTCCGCAAGGACAGTCGAGTAGGCTCCTTTGGCTAGCATGTCAACAGGTACCCAGATGTTGGGATAGACGCTTCGGTTGTTGAGATCGCCCATAGTGGTTGAATCTTCGTTACCACTGCCAGGCCAAATGTTCTTGAAGCCGATGCCGTTATCCCTGGCCACGATGAAGCGGTAGTTGGGGGTGAAGAAGTCTATGTCGGCAATATCGTCTACTGATTCCGTGGGCATGAGATACACCATGCCCTTCTCGATGGCTTGTTGGCCCTCATTGAGCTTCTTCTTGCGATATTGTTGCATAAACCAGGTTGTGTAGCCCCAGTAGTTGGACATGAGCGACTCGCCCCACCACAGACTCGCGCGCGTCTGCTCGTTGTGGGTGAGGAATTCTCTACCCGAGGAGCGACCCTTCATCCGCGAGAGCGTTGTCGGTGATGGAACGTGGTTGTACGTTTGCGTCAGGTTGAAGAAGACAGTACCTAACGGACTCGAGATCTGGCATGTGGCATACGTTCGGACTGCAGTGTTCCACCCGGCGTAACGAATCTGGTTGGTCGCTTCGTCCAAGGCTTGGAACTGGATCCCAATCGAGACAACAGAACAGTTCTCCAAGATGTTGTTCTGATATGTTAAGGACGGCAGTTCGTTTTCCTGCGTGTCTTGCTCCGTCCAGACAGCTTCGAGTGTGTATGAGAGCGCAGTCTGGTTCGTGAAGAAGGTTGCGTGCTTAGAGAGGTCCGCGGGCATGCACTTGGGTTGTATCCTATACGTACGGGTACAAAGTCAGATCAGTCAGGCAAGTGGTGTTAGATGTGAGTCGAGCATGTCAAAGACATGGCGACCTTTACTCGGATGGAACGTACTTGTTGGTGAGGATATTCCAGGATGGCCAGCCATCTTGCGATCGCTGGGTGATGGTCGCGTTAGGGTCGAATGTTCTCTCCAAGACTAGGTCAAAACCGCTAATGGCGACGTTGATGTATGTGAATAGTGCCGTCAAGCAGAGTCCGCCAACAACGACAACTGGTGTATACCACCGGTACGGATAAGGTCGTACCACAGGGTAAGCAAAGCGTGCCTGATGGGGTTGTGGCATCGTCGTGAATAGTCTGATTTGAGTCTTGGGAGAGCGTGAAAGATAGTGGCGGCAGGAAGTATGTGAAAAGACATCTTTTATATTGACACAATACGCAGCATACAGGAATGCCTCAGTGATTTGGGTGAGGAAGCCTAATGCAATGCGACGAATAGCCGGAAGGATTCACGAGGCAGAACCAAGGCGCTCAGATTGACACTGACGAAATGTTGAGGCTCTGGATGCGGTGTAACATTGCACGAAACAAGCCATGGCTGGAGTCTGACAGCGGGAGGCTGGTCTATCTTTCAGGAAGACGACTTTGCATAACAAAGGGGAAATGCTCATCCAATTCGCGACTGTTGCAATCGAGTGTGTGACCACGCAGATATTCAGGTAGCTTGTAGCCATCCACAGGGGCTACTAGACGCATCACGCAGCTTCTTTGTAGTATTGGATCAAAACGATTCCACCACAAGAGGCAGTCTCGGACAGCGAAAGACTCGCAAGCCGCCTTGCGTTTATTAAGATGCATGTTTCCGCGCAAAACCCACAGAAGTACAGGTTTTATTGTGGGCTGCACCGGACGAAACCTTGGCAGAGGGTGATACAAAACTCAGTGGAGGTCTTGGGGGTTACACGAAGTGGATTCCGCCGCGCAGGACGGAATCGGAAAAAGCAGGTGATAGGCTAGGAGAGCAGCGAACAACCAAGAAGGCGCAGTGATAATGTAAACAATGTTTCGTGACATAATAATGCATACCGTGGCGTGCCGACTCCGTGCATGAAGCAAACATCATCGTGATGCTTGCTCCAGCCTCCAGGAGAACGCCTGAAGCTCTGGGAGACGCAGCCCCACATGGGTATGTACCACAACATTAGAGAAGACCTCGGGAAACAACACTGCCATCGTTTCGCCACCAACTCCTTCATCCCGTACGATGTCGCTTCCTACGCGTCCGTCCAGCCCTCCTCCCTCCCAACCACCTTCTCAATCTCCCTAACCACTTCCTTCAACGGCTTCAAAATCCTCCTTTGATAAATCACAACAATACACTCCACATCCCACATCTCCAACTCCCCGTTCTTAGCACCCTTGTATTTGCCCAACAGCCCAAGCCCCTCCGCAACATCCCCAACAGGCCCCTGCGCAGACCTAAACTTCTGTACCGCGCGTGACCCATCTCGATAAATACTCTGGCTCTTCCTTACAAACAACTCGATAGCCTTTCCCCGCGCGATCAACGACATCAACCCCAAGTCATGGAACGCCTCCACCTGGGCGTCGATATGCGACTTTACGGCTTTCAGCAGAGTCAAAGTTTGGTTGGCGTCAGAGCGTGTCATGACGGTGCCGTAGATGTTTGTTACTTGGCGGGCAAGCCGTTTCTGTAGCTGGAGATGATGTTTCTTTGATGCTAGCGTCTCGAAGTCGGGTTCGGAGTCGTAGGCGAAGTCGGTTTGGGGTGCGGTGGCGTTGGCCATGCGGCCTTTGAGGTAGAAGGATGTGAAGCCTGGCATTGTGGGTGGATTATGGATTGAGGTTTGGGTGGTGTGATGGTTGATGGATGAAAGTCGTTTGGTGGTTTAGTGGTTTAGTGGTTTAGTGGTTTAGTGGTTTAGTGGTTTAATGGTTGAGGAGAGCGAATGGGGTGAACACTCGGTGAGGCTCAGAGACCGAGTCGTTATATAGATTGAGGGGAGCGTTAGTGGCAAGTATCGAAGTTCTGGTTCCTGCTGGTTGCTTGCATGGAGCAGTGAGTTTGCGCTGTGCATGAACGACCGCGTACTTCGAGGTCACAGTGGTTACCACTTCACAAGGAGTGAAAGTCATAAGATGGGAATGAACGCAAAGATCTAGGTTGATCTTCCGGGCTGCGCGCTCGAGCTTCAAGTCTTCGCGGGATACTTTAGGTGTGTACATTAGTGGGTTGGTAAGTCGATAACGGTGGTTTGCCAGGGCTGTTCGTCGGAATGGTCGTCTCCATACTCAACCACGGTAGCCAAGGAAATCTAGGTTGATGAGGCTATATGGAACTGCAAAGAGTCAACGCTCATGACGGTAGTCAATATTAAAGAGCATTGTATACCTAGGATATCATCATAATACATTGGGCTTACAAAATCATTGTGTTCTCTCGACGTTGTCTACATTACCAGCACGTACAACTCCAGCCTTGCAACCGCAGAGAGAACAGTCTTATCCCGCAATAAGGATGGTGACTGCGAGAAACGCAGCTATACGGACGCCAGTTGCCGGTTCAATAGCGGCGATGATGCCGATTGCAAGGACGCTTGCTGCCAGGCTATACTTTATGAGAGGGTCAGAAGCTGCGTAAGGACATCCACGTGTACGGCAGTTTGTGGCAACGCTGTCTACTGTCCAGTCGGATGTAAGGGATGGGACAGTTTGGTGGCGGGGGTAGGCTAGACTCAATGCATGGAGTCTTTGTAGTCTGCGCCTGGATGCACGCATGGCGATGCATTTACAAGCGGCTGTAGAGAAGTGGACTGTTTTCATGGTGAAGTTGATAAGTTCTGGAGTTGTCGTTGTGGGTGCTTGAAATTTGAATCGAGTACTGTGGACGGTATGAAAGACTAGACAAAAGTAGCAGATGTTAATGTTGCAGGCTGTTCACAGTGCAACTTCGCAGTATGGTGTAACTGAACGCCGATGAGGGGTGCATACACAATGTTTGATAGTACTTGGAGAGACAAACCAGGCCGTGATACCTGTAATCCCACTTGGTATCGTTGTCAGCAGGTCAACTTGAGGCGGGGAGGGAAGATATTTCGATGTCACAATGTACAAAGTAAAGAGTGGCGGCATCTTGTCATTCTGGATCGAATGAAAGTTGAATGTATTGATGAGAAGCCCCAAGCAGCAAAACAATGTCGAGATGAGTGTCGCAAACGATAGCTCTTCGTTCTCAGTGAGGCACAAAATGTCCCATCTAGATCTTGTCATGCTTGCCCTTATTACCAACCTTAGGCTGTCGCTGTCGAACCATGGGAATGCATTCTCAAGTCGAATATCGATACTCTCCAGACCAGTGGGATTGCTATACTTGGTCAAATGATCTGGAACAGCTCAAAAGCCACCTGGGAGCGAACGGGGAGTAATCCTGGTGCGTTGAAGGGCCGCTTTCGCCATGTTATCCAGTTCTCTCGAGGCGTCATCCAAAAACTGCATGCAACGGTACAGAAATCCACGAGTGTACTATCGAAGCCGATCCTCTGTCCGAGAAGTCAGCTTTATGGGCCCGTGACCATCTTGTTCAACTTTTCCAACTCACGCATTTTGTTCAGCTCGTCCAGGATTAACTGGAGCTCGTCCTCGTCCATGTTCAGCGAGGGAATGAGGGTGGTGGCCTCTTCTGCGGTGTCCGGGGTAAGCGTTCCTAGCAACCTTGTCAGCATCACGTCCTTTCCCTTCCTATTCGTGTATTACCAAGCAGTGCCTTCTCGACAACGGAGATCTCAGGGTGCGCATCGAAGAGGGCAGCGATCGAGTGCAGACTGTCTTCCTCCTTGTAGCGGGCGAAGTTGTCTAGGTAGTCGAGGAACTGTGTGATGGTTCTGCTACAGTCAGTCTTGGCTCTTTCCTTGACGCTTCCCATGTGTCGTGTCTTCTCGAGGCGACTCACATGCTGTCGTTGTATATCCTATCGCGTAGAGGGTTGTTCTCGGGGTCCTTCTTCTTCCGGGCCTCGTGGACGGCTGTGACGACGGCGCGCGCTTCGGAGACGGAGAGGGCGTGGACGTCTTCAAAGTCGCCTAGCTTGATCTCAGAGCCCATCTCCTCCTCTTGCTGCACCGGGGGCTTCGGGCGCGAGACTAGCCTCGGGGCCTTGAAGACGGGTGGCTCCTGCCTCTGGGGCGGCGCGTGTTCTCCCTCTCCTTCCATGGCGAAGGGGTGTAAGGGTATGTGGTAGGCTGGTAAACGACGGTAGGCAAAGGTATAGACGCGGTCGGTGAGTTGTGATGGTCTTTGTTGGATATGCGCAGGTTCTTTGGGCGGTGCGCGAGCTCGGTCCTGCTAGTAAAAGCGGCGGAGCTAGAGTGAGAGCGGGTGAGAGCGAGTGAGACTTGTAGGACGGCAGTGACGACAGACGTGCCTTCCAACCACAAATAACAGCCTCACCAGATGGAAGTCGCGACTGTCGAGATCTCAAATGCCAAGACTCTCCGAAAGCGCTAGCGACACCCATGAACCTTGAAACGAACAGCCTTCCCCGCCCGGCGCGCTGACTTTCATCGGCCTGCAGACGGCCTGCAGTGCGTTATGCTCCAGGAATAGCCTGCCATGTACCGAGGATGCTGAGGGAAATATCTCGTGTGTGCGCTGGACGTATAATATCTTGTGTAACGTCTTCACAACCCACCAGCTAGCCGCATGCGCACCGGCAGCGCAGAACAAGTGCATAATGGCATACTAATGCCGGCTCTCTTAGAGGGCTAAAATAAGCTCAAGGGGTCCCAAGGCGCCGATGCTGCTGCCGGCCATCTGCCTGTACATCGCAATCAGCGTGCACCGAAGCGGCTAGCGCCGTCTGCAACATGCAGTCCACTCCTCGAACATTGACCACAGCCGCAGTGACACAGGAACAACCACCAGCCTCACACCCCAAGCCGCCTCCTGCGAATTTTCCGCCAAGCGACCTCTGATTGCGCTTTTGCGAGTTGCATGTCCGGTGCTGCTCCCTCTTGCTACTTGCCTTGCCCGCCCTGACCGCGTTTCATCCACCGCTCAGGGTCCTCGTCCTATGCCCCCCATAGCACGCCGGGCCTAATTCACCACACGCCTGCTCCTCCGCGGCGACCGCATGCCGTCCGAGTTGCTTTTGCGCCCATTGTACATAGCATCCCTTACACCCAGCCCAGCCCGCCCTGCCAGACGCCGCGCATTGCTAGACAGAGCGCGCTCGCCAACGCATCGCCGCCCTTCTACCCTTGGCCACCTCCCCGGGTAGATCCACCGCGACTCGACACCCCTCGTCCGCGGCACCTCCTACCAACGCCGCAGCTCATCCGACAAACGTCCTCTGACAAACCCGTCCCTGCCACCTCTCGCCTCCCTGTCGCGCGCCCCTCCCACCTCGGCTACGCCACGCACCCGTTCCGGACCCTGCATCGAAGTGGAGGATTGTCGAAGCTGGCGTAACTGGACATGGGAACACCGGCGGAGGGACCGCCTCCGATGGATCATCAGGGCGCCCAGTCACAGTACAACTACGACCCGCGCAACAATGGCCTCTCCAGACGCGCCACCGACGAGGCCGCATCCTCGTCAACCAGTCTTGCGCCCTACGACCGCACCAACTACCCCCCGCGATCGTCGACCGACCCGGGGGACCAGAACCAGCCCGTCGCCAAACCCAAGCGAAGCGGGAAGATATGTGGAAAGTGTGGGGAAGGCCTGACTGGACAATTTGTGCGAGCCTTGGGCGACACCTACCATTTGGAATGCTTTACTTGTCACGTAAGACACCCATGTTGTTTTCTGGATAGGAGGAGTTGGGCGTACGCACGTCTCTTGATCTCTAGCGACGCGAGCCCGCGCATCGCTGTCCTGGATGGACTGCTCCCAATTGTCTCGCGCGCAATAATTCTCTACGTAGCATCTCTGATCACAGTGCTGACCTGCTTTCTAGGACTGCGGTAAAATCGTTGCCTCCAAGTTTTTCCCCGTACCCGACAAGCCACCCGGCCAGTACCCCCTCTGCGAAACCGACTATTTCCGACGTCTTGATCTGCTCTGCTTCGAATGCGGGCAGGCCTTGCGCGGCTCATACATCACAGCGTTAGACCGGAAATACCACATTGAGCACTTTACCTGTTCCGTGTGTCCTACCGTTTTCGGCGCCTCGGACAGCTACTACGAGCACGAGGGCAGCGTCTACTGTCACTACCACTACTCCACCAAATTCGCCCAGCGGTGTAACGGCTGTCAGACATCGATTTTGAAGCAGTTCGTCGAGATCTTCCGAAATGGGCAGAACCAGCACTGGCATCCGGAATGCTACATGATCCACAAGTACTGGAATGTCAGGCTTCATTCCACAGGCCAGCCTGTCATCGAGCGTCTGCAGGATGCCGATGGCGACGCGACAGATGAGGTGCGCGAGAGCGTCCGCCAACAGGAGGAAGAGATCGAAGCCAAGGTCAACTGGATCTGGAAGACCCTTTCGGCTTTCGAGGAAAAGTCCGCGACCTGCATCTCCGACATGCTCCTGCACGTCAGTAACGGTGCCTACGTCGACGGTGTCATGGCAGCCAAAAAGTTCATTGTGCACGTCGAACTGCTTTTCGCGGCCGCCGACGCGCTCGATGCGCAATTGATCGTCAGGACACCCAAGGGATTGACCTATTCGCGCGAATCAAAGCTACTTTGTAAGAAAGTGGTAGCCTTCTTCGCGCTTCTTACCCAGTCCCAGGGTACTGGCGTGCGACGACTGGGCGTGACCCAAGAATTGCTGTCCCTGGTTACTGGCTTAGCCCACTATCTGAAGCTCCTCATCCGCATATGTCTGCAGGGTTCTCTAAAATTAGAGCGCGAGACCCGGAGCTCCACCGGTTTGACCAACTTCCTTACCCAAGTAAACTCACTCGATGCGCGGTTGGAGGACGAGGCCCAAAGAGACCAGGCGGCTGAGTCCGCGCGGCTTGTCCCAAGATGGGCTGACGCATGTCCAATATGCGATGCCCAGGTCGAAGACAAGTGTTTACACCTAAACAACATGTCGTACAATTACAGCTGCATGGTTTGCCGGGGGTGCAATGCCGACTTGCGCCATAGCCCTCAGAGCGCTTACTGGAGTAAATCGAAGCGAAGCATCTTCTGTCCGGCATGTGCAGCAGCGCAGCCAGACGCTGAGAACGGTTTCGAGCAGGTCACCAAGCTGCGCCAATATGTGCACCTACTAAACGTGGCGCATGCGCGTCTTATGGCGACCCTGCGATCCAGTGGCGCATTGCCACACACTTCAGGTAAGAATAACTCTCCGTAACAGATCACCTCGTCACCACTCATCTTGACACTCCGACTCAGATTTCTGGAGCCGCTTCCGAGATTACATTCGTCCCACTAATGACTTGTAGATGATCCCAACCTGGCAGGCTATGATTCCACACAGGGACATCGCCTTGGGGATGACCCGCCGCATTTGCGACCAGACACACGATCAAAGTCGTATGGAGGGACATCAGCAACAGATAGTCAAAACAGCAACAATGCCGCCTACGAGCAATCCATGTCTGACATCAAGCGCCTACGATCGACACGACTTGACAAGCACCTATCCAACACGATGAAACGTGCGCGCGCATCACGAATCATTGACGGTCCAGAGGGTCTCGAAGGAGAGGGACAAATGCGAGGAGGAATGCAAATCGTTCAGGAACGCGAGCTAGGGGGCGACGCCGACGCTGTAACACTCGCTGTGAACTCTCTCGCTCTAGACGACATTGCTCGCATGGCTGCGTTGGAGCAGCAACGAGAGCAACGTCCAAATGCATTCCGCGCTGGTGGAAGCGCACTACTGGGACGAGAAGATCAACCGAAGCTGCAGAATGGCCATCGTCGCGACTTCTCTGGCGCCCAGGATCTACAACAGATGACCGAAGGTCGCTCACGAACCTACTTCTCGGAGCTGTCGCCACTTGAATACTTCAAACTGAAGGGCCTTGCAGTACTCCAGCTTGGCCTCTTGCTCGACGACAATCAGTACAACCAAGGCGATCTGCTCGATCTCATCGAGTCGAAGAAAAACAACTTCTGGGGCAAGATCGGGTTCGGCAAAGCGTTCAAGGCCGACAAAAGCAAGCCGAAGAAGGGCGTTACAGGAGTCGAGAAGCCAGTTTCCGACAAAGCAACTTTCCGACAGTCGCTTGAGTACCTCGTGGAAAAGTATGGTGATGAGTGCACGGAGGGTGTAGGACCGGGCGCTCTCAAAGTTCCAGCTCTGCTCCAGGATTGTATCACTGCGATGAGAAGTATGGACATGTCCATCGAGGGTGTGTTCAGGAAGAACGGCAACCTCAAAGCTCTGCGCGAACTTGAGGAAGAAATTGACGCTCACGGGGTTCAGAAAGTCGACCTGAATACCAAGAACCCAGTCATACTCGCCAACCTCCTGAAGCGCTTCCTCAGGTTGATGCCTGAGCCGGTATTGACATTGAAGCTATATAGGCTGTTCATGGTGGCTAATGGTAAGTCGCTTCATCTCACCCGTCGTGCTTGACTAACAGTAACAGACATTGAGGATGAGGCACAAAGAAAGAAGGTCTTGCATCTCGTGCTTTGCCTGCTGCCCAAGGCCCATCGCGACACAATGGAAGTCCTATTCTGCTTCCTGAACTGGGTTTCATCGTTCCACACTGTTGACGAAGAGACTGGCAACAAGATGGACACCTGGAACATCGCCACCGTTATGGCTCCCAACATTCTGCGAGAGAGCAATGACAAAGAAGTCAAGAGCGTGGACCAGGGCGCGGTCAAGGTCGTGTTTGATCTCATCGAAAACAACGATGAGTTCTCGGAGGTATGTTGCTCCGCCATACTACCAATCCACTTTCATACTAACGTCAACAGGTACCTCCCGAGATCATGGAACTACTCAGCGATGAAGTGTCCGACATGAGCGCGAAGGAAATCATGCGCCAATGGGAGCAGCGGGGGAAGAACCCTCTGTCAGCTCCTACGCCATCACCCAGAGACCAAACCGGCACAGCTTCCAGGAAAGACCAGCGCAATTCGCCTCAAGTCACGACGGCGGACAACAACCCCTCGGCTCAAGCTGGCGAAGCGTCCGTTCGCCAGATCCCCGGCGGGGGTGCTCAACCTATGGGCAGCAATCAGCACAGCCCCACACCAGGGTACGACCGAAATACACCCAACCCTGCATTCGCCCAGAATCCCCAAGCTTCTTCCGACGGCCACCGCACTGCATCGCCTCATCGGCACAGCTACCGCTCGCCCGGCTTCCAAAAACATACACAGATTGGCACCGCGGGCGCTGGATGAGACACGACCACTCTCTTTTTGGAACCCTCCCGGAGTACAAGGCGTTGACTGCATGCAACCATCTAAGCATGGCTTGAGCGAAAAGCATTCAATGAGCGGTGAATTCTATTCTATACCCCTGGCCAGAGTCTACGTTATGACATCTAGACTGGCCAGTCCATCTTCTCACGCATCGGCTTGGCATAAGTTTGACGAAACCTGTTTGATTGCATTGTAGGGCATCCTGCGCTTTGCGCGATGCGTTACTGGAAGGAACCACATTTTTTTGCTGGCAGCATTGGTATGGGCGTTTTCTGGGTAATCACATTGTGCCATATACGATCTTGGCATTGTTTACTGGTGGGCGCGACTATGCGCGTGCGAGTGCGGAGTGCGGAGTGCTTTGTAGAGGTTGTGTTTGAGAGTGTGAAGAGTACTACGGATTTGGGGGATGGGTGGACTTGCATGGCCGAGCTGCGTGGAAGCTGCATAGGCTGCTGCAGTAGAAGTCGAGCCGAAGGTGGAGATAATGTATGAAGTCGCGCGATGTAGTCTTCAAGGACTTACGTTGCCTACTGTTGGTAGATGGCTTTTAGAAGCCGGTGTAGGTATCTGATCATTCTCCCACTCTCTACGTCATCTTTCGTCTTGTTGTTTACGGTGCGAGGGACGCGGCTTCCTCATCTTCACTAGCCCGGCGGTCCCACTTGTTGTCAACCACCTTTGCTAGACTCATCTCACCTGCAGCGAAACTTCACTTCACCGAAAGATCTCTCCTTTCACTTCATTTTCCTCGCTCTGACATGGCATTCATCGCTCACTCATAGAGAGCATCACTTCGCAGCTGCGTCTGTCTTCCAGAAACCTTTATACCGCAGCTACCGCTACCTGCCTCTGCCGTAGCCTCCACTCGCATCACGCGCTATCCGCACGATGGATCCCGAGACTACTCGGATCGTGTTGAAGCTTCAACTGGACGACGTACACGCCATCCTGAAGGCTTTGCCCAGCACTAGCAACGATGGTGCCGTCAACAGCGAGCGAGTCGCTTTCGCCGCGCTCCGCGATGAGCTCACGAGGAAATGGCAAGAGGTACATGGTCGTGTTTTCGCGCACAACATGATCAGGAAAGAGAATGCTGGCCGAGAGTCGTTTCGGAAACTCTTGAATGAGGAGCAGCAAGCTGAACGTGAGTGCAAGCTACTTACCCATCGCACTCATAGCAAGACTAACGTAGTCAAGGTGACCATGACATGGCTTGCACACTCGCTGGACAGCCGGTACCTCAGCGTCCTGTGGTGTCAGCCGACAATGGCGTGCACAACAACGCAGCAGCACAGAAGCAGGAACCCATCGACCACCGAACACTCGCCAGTGACAACTTGCGGTTCGATCTCAGTGGCACTCAAGTCGCTCCAACCAGGCCCGAGCCTCAACAAGGCAAGAAGCGTCTTGCTGAGGACGACCCGAAGCCCGCTCCAGCATCCAGTAACTTCAAGCGTGCGCGTGTCGACGATGCGGATGACCGAGACAAGAACTCTGTCACACCATATACGCATGAATCATCACTCAAGAAGCGCGCCGCTTGCGTCGACGCCGCAATACTTAGGGAGAAAGATGACGGACGAACCAAGCGAACCAAGCTGGACCCTCAGGCCGAAACTGCTCCGATTGCAGACGCCACGAAAGTCCCGTCGTCTGACACGGTCTGCGAGAAAGAGCATGTCCAGACTGGAGCTAAGCCTGATCTTGTTCTGTCTCGGACCTGCTCCTCATGCTTCGACATGCACCCCATTCGAGACACGATTCAGCTTCAATGCAGAAACACTGGCGATGCTGAGCGTCATGCATACTGCCGCGACTGTATCATGGGCCTTTTCGAAGCTTGCATAACAGATTCTTCGCAATTTCCACCGCGATGTTGTAATCAGATCCTACCGGTCTTTGCCTGCATCCCTTTTCTGCCACCCGAACTCTTCGCTCGATATGTAGCCAAACGAGAAGAACTGGAGACGCGAAACCGAACGTATTGCAGCAACTTCCTGTGCGCCAAATGGGTCAGACCCTGCAACATCGCAGCAGGCATAGCTACATGCGTGAACTGCGCCCAGAAGACGTGTGCCACGTGCAAGAAGAAGCAGCATGCTGGTCTCTGTCTCGAAGACCAGGATGTGAAGAAGCTCATGGATGTTGCAAAAGCCAAGCGCTGGAAGACTTGCCCAAAGTGCAAAGAGATGATAGAACTTGAGGCTGGCTGTTACCATATCAAGTACGTATGACCGTCCTACGCTTACTACATTGATCTGACTTTGCAGGTGCCGCTGCCAACATCAGTTCTGCTACCTTTGTCTTAAGAAGTGGCGTACATGCAGATGCCCCACTTGGGACGAGCGGAATATCACTCCTGAACCGATACTCGCCAACAATGCTGCCCCAAATGTCGTCAACCCTGCCAACGTTGCGCCGCGCGTCCCTGGACTCGTTGCTGCACGAGTACCCGTCTTCAATGCTGCTCAAAGGGTTGCGAACATTCTCAACGAAGAGGCGCTTCTTCCGTTGGCAAACCCACCTGCACCTGCAGCCGCTCCACAACCGAACGTGCAGGCCGATCTACCTCGAGCCCAACCACGGCGTAACCGGAGAAGGAACAGACAGCATCATGTTCATGTGTTCGACCGATACTACGTGAGTCAGGGTGAGAATACCGAGTGTGATCACTGCGGATTCATGGACCGCTGGGTCAATGGCTGTCAAGGGTGTGACTTGCGGATATGTCGGCTGTGTACGAAACACGACCTCTGAGAGGAGCCAACGTGATAAATACACAGCCTGTGTGCAAATACATGTCAAGAATGAGGAGCTCGCTATGTTTGATTATATCCACTACGCGCTCTTCATCGATAAGCTATGTACCCGATCGCGAGCGACAGGAAAGGAAACTATACAGGCATGTCTTAGTAGCTTTATGAACTCAGCATGTGTATAGGCAGAAATACTATAGTATAATTTCCTGCATCAACTCATGCACTTCAGCCACTCTACTTCTTCACAGCAACAACAAACAGTCTCGGGTATCCCAAAAGCACCTTCCCATCCACGAGCTCCGGATACTCGCCCTTCAGCCCCCTCTCATACTCCTCCAAAAACGCCTTCTTCGCCTCCTCCCCTTCAATTCTATTGAGATAAGGTTGTAACCCCGTCCCCTTGACCCACTCCACAATCGCGCCCGCATCCTTGAGCACATGCATATATTTTGTCCTCCACACATTAACCAAACTCGCCTCCCCAACCAACGCATTGTAAAACGCACTCGGCTCCTCAATAGGATCCAAATCCGGTCTTGTCGCATCTTTCAAATCCCCAATCTGCGTATCCGCGAAGGAGTCCGACCACACTTTCCCTGCTTGCAACGCCGTCTCACGCATCATCCGGTGCGACGGCTCGTGGTAGTTATCCGGGACCTGGATCGCTATTACGCTCCCGCTTTTCAGCGAAGAAAAGAGGCGCGCGAGCGTGGGTATGCGTTCGGAAGACCGGAGCCAGTGGAACACCGCGTTGCTGAATAACACGTCCACGTCTCCGTCTGCTTTGAACGTCGCCAGATCTCCTCGTGTGAAGTCTACGCTGTCTTTCCCTTCAAATTCTGCATTTGCCTTTTTCAACATGTCGGGGCTACTATCCATGCCCGTGATGCGCGCAGAGGGAAACGCATCGAGGAGGACTTTTGTACTATTTCCAGGCCCGCAGCCGAGGTCGTAGATACGCGGTGTTGAGCTGGTGATGTTGGGTTGGATTTGAGAGACGAGGTCGTAGACGGCGCGGAGGCGCTCGTTGTTGAATTTGAGGTACTGTGTTGCTGACCAGTCTTTTTTTGGTGGGGGTTCTGTTGACATTCTCGCGGTTGTTGTGCTGAAGGGCTGGTGTTGTTGCTGATCGCTGTAGAGTCTGGGTTGAGTTGCTTTTTGTGATCGACGGTCGTGGAGTGTGTGCCGTTGGTTAAATGGACACGATGTTGTGACGATGGTTGATAGACTGCGGATATGTATCCGCGGGTGTAGTGCGGCTAGGCGGGCCGATTGAAGGGTTCGCGAACTGCGGAGGAGTGGGCAGGCCATCTGCGCAGAATCTGTGCATCAGCTGGGGAGACGGCTAATGATGCTTGAGTAATGCTTGAGGTGATTAAGTATGTACAAGGAGTGACAAGCTCTTCGGAAAAGCGCCGTGCTGAGGTCTGGAAGCTCAGCTCAGCGAATCAGATTGCATGTGTGGGGTACGAGGCTAGCGGATGGGGTTAAGATCGGCGTATGTCCGGGGTGCCGCATCACGCAAGAGGCCTACAGCTTGCTGTCTGTAGCCGGAAAAGACACTTTTGCAATTTCATGAAGCACGATTTCGTAGTGGGTCAATTCTACTTCCGTTTTATCAAAGAAGCCTCAATGTTGGTCCCGATATGTCTTGCTACCAAACATTACCTCATGATGGAAAGGACACAAGGAAAGCTATCGACTCTGGAAACAAACTTGCTGAAGGCGCAAAGGCACTAGAATCGCGGAGGCATCATTCCCGGACGACCCATCTTGTCACCACCATGTTTACCTGCCGTGATCTCGGGATAAGCCGTGCTTCCCTCGTCGTATTCAATCGGTTCTTCGTCGTTGTCTGGCACGCGCGCGCTGGTGCTGAATACCTTGACTGAGAGTGTCTTTTGGTCTGGGAACTTTACCCGTTCACCGTTTTGCTAGAGGTATAAGTCAGTTTTGATATTAGGCATGACGTGGGGTGGACTCACATCATAGACATTCCAGGTCAACTTCTCGGTCAAGAAAGGCACCACGTCGCTGGGCTCCAGGCTCTTCAAGCTCTTGTTTTCAATCTGCTCGACGAGATAAGGTGTGATACTTGTTGTACCGTTCATCAACTTCTCCGGTGTTGAGGGATCTTTCTCGGTGTGCACGTCGTCGAGTCGCTCTGGCATCAACATCATCCAGCTTCCCACGTCGACAACTGGGTCGGAGTTGAACATGCCGCCTAGTGAATACTTGACGATGAACGATGGTGGAAGTTTGGAAGCAATGGCTTGTGTCTCGATGATCCAGTCGGTGTAGGTGCCGTTACTTTCCTCGAGTGTTTCTCCGAATGGCGTTGGCTTGGTACTCATGACTGTAACTTTGCTCTGTGCGCGTGCGCGCCCACTATACATCCTCGCGATCTGCGCTGTGACGTCTGCCTGATAGGCTTGGTCTGAAGCGAACTTCCAGCGCCGTGTTTCCGGGTAGGCATAGCCTAGGACAGTGGTGTTGCGACAGTCGTTGAAGGTCATGAATTTGCCAGGGTCCTTTCTGAACGGGAGGAGTTCAGTGTTTGCGTCAACGTCTTGGTAGTCGTCAAGATAGACGTTGCCGTGCGGTCCTATGCTTGACTTTTCCATCCAAAGATCAGGGTGCGCTCCCTGGTATAGTGCGAGTAGGCGGTCGACGTTGCTGACGGTCTGTTAGCTTATGTGAATCTAGGGATTAAGCGCACTTACGCATGATGTAACATGAAGAGAGGTTCGTATGACGAATACTCCAGCGGCCACATATGACCGGGGGTAGACGTGGTGGGATCGTAGCCACCGCCGATAACGCCGTGTATCCAACCATGCGGGTCTTCTAGTATACTAGAGAATCGCGAGAAAGTGCTCGCTCGGAAAGCTACACCAACCTGAGATATCAGATTGGTGGACTGAGCACTGAAGGCACTGACAAACATCGATTGTCGCGATGTCGCATTGGCGGTCGCGTCACTCGGCCATCGTATCGTTGAACTCATAGAGGCCCACTGCATGATGGTTTAGAAACTTTGTATCACGATCTTCCAAGATTGAGACCTCTTACCTTTTGATCAAAGCCAGCGGGTACAGGGTTGAACTTGTAGGAATACAGCGGATTTGACACCACCGTTAGACTGCCGTCCGTATCCGTCACCGCTATTTCGGGGGCTGTAAAGAAGTCGGGAACGGGGCCAATGGTGGTACCTTGAGCCCAGTCCCAGTAAGGTATGCGGAATTCGTTTGCTGCCTTGAGATACCGTTCGATCTGATCGGCGGGTGCTTTTTTAGCGATATCGTAGACATGGCTTGACAGTGATTGCTACGATTAGTCAGTATCATTGTGGTTATTCTTCTAGGGAAAGGTGGAGGTGCGAAGGTATAAAGCTCACCTCGAATAGCGCAAGGTATGGGCGATGCCAACCTAGGAACAACTCATTGCCATGCGGGCAGTAGCCAGCCTTGCCAATCTTGTTTTTCTTTCCTGGTGCGTCACCCCAAACATCGTAAGGCCTTCCATGTATCGCTGAGGACAATGTCAGTAAGTGTTGAGCCATGCTGATAGCGGATGTACTCACATGCGATACCGTAGAATGAGTTGGGATTGTTCTGGGCAGTTGTATGAAGTTGTCGCAGCGCCAAGATGTAGAGACTCCATTGATCTGGCGCGTTGTTCTTCAAGTCCCTCACCTCTCGGCGCACATAGACGTTGCCTGTGAAAAGTTAGCGGTGATCGATACACGTGCGGTCTAGCTGAGTACTAACCGTTTTCGTCTCGCGACTTCACTCCAGTCACTACGCCCACTGCGGACTGACGGACGGTATGAGAGCTCTTCCTTTCCGATACAGGCGTACACGTGACGTATGATATCAAAAGCCACGGTATTAAGTATCGAGCGAGCCACGGGATGAGCATGGTGAGCGACTGTCGCGTCAAACGAAGGGTATATCTGCGGAGAGCCGGTCAGAGGGGAGCAAAGAGACATATATTTGTACATCAGAGCCTGCAGTCCCTGCGTGTAAAACAGACTAGCCACATTGAGGTCATATGCGGTGAGAGTGAGTGACGATCGCGCCTGTCATCCACAGTCGAAATACTAGGTTTAGGAGCCCAAAATGAAAACAACTGGATGTTGCATAGGGACGCGATACGACAGCAAAGCTTGTTGCGGACCAGAGTTGTTGGTCTCCCAGGCCTGTGTTGTTGTTGTGATGACAAGAGATGTGGTAGCGAAGGCGTGCCCTGAACCAAGGAATTTGCTGGGTGAAATGTGACGCACTCACCTTGTGACGCGATGAAAACGAGAAATATAGCACGACAAGTGTGAGTTGCCCACTGTTATGGGAGGATATACCGCTAATGCAGCAACGCAGTATGAGAGCAGGCGTGGCGGGTGCGTTGTAAGTTTACCCTCCCGCTGGCGTTCTTCTAGAAGCGGAAAAGAGAGATGCGACGATGACAGTTGGTGACTTAAATTACAGGGCGAAAGCTAGCGATTGAGATAGAAAGAGAGCGTGGGATGTTTGAGTCGAAGGTGCATCGACGAAAGAAGCATCGTCAAGGGGTTTGTTGACGTGCCAGAAATGTGCTTTTCTGATCACGACCTCGTCTCTCCCGCACCGGTAGTTATCAAGTCGTAGGAGCACAGAATAACATTGCTCCAAGGTCTTCGCGAATAGCCGTTGTGTGAAACATCAGCCGGATACATTACCGCAAGCAATCTTACATAGTTTCGACCGCGGTTTCGGATCGCATGCTGGCTGTCAACGCCAAATATGGTTCGCACGACGCATAAGCTTTTCAGCCTAATCCGCAACTCAATATACAGATAAAAGATGGTAGGGCCATTTGTCGGCGTTCGGTGACACCCGCGGATCTCTGCATTCAATGTTGCACGGCGCGTGGAGCAATGCGCAACATGCTGTGTACCCCGCGCGGCTACGTGTCTGGCTTACGGAGATTGCCCAACATGAATCCACCGAAGGCGAAGGAGATGTCGCGAGTAAAGTCTCCACAATCCTAGCTTTTCCGTTAATCTTTCGTGCCGTTTGAGGCTCGACAAAGCGCCGACGCGCCTAGCGGATGCTTACGGCGACCGACGGCGGGGAATAAGGTAAACTGATTCGCATACATGATAGTGGAACGTTGCAAGACTCCGGAAATAGTTGATTGCTGATTTAAATGGTTCCTAATTGAGACGCTAATACAGGTCATTCGTGCCGCTAGCCGTAGCTGACTGCGTTGTGTATCCTCATACAAGTATTCCGCATGGGGCCACATGCGCAAACCGCCTGGCGGTCATCTCGTTCATTACATCGTGTGTATCGTCAAAGTGCCAGTCGAAATGCTGGAAGTTTCCGTTCGAGTGGTTAGATGTCGTTATATCCGAGAAGCGTCTTTGGCAGATCTTTATCCGCGACCGCCCAGGCCCAGGCACGACCTGCCTCGCCACACCATAGGGAAGATGGATCTTCCGATTTCTCAAGCATTCCGTCTTTGGCCATCGACTTGATCTCATGGCCTGTGGTGTACGTCAAGAAGTGTTCGAATTGCTTTCCGTCCAGAGCGAGAGCGTTTCCGGTGATGCCGTGACAGAGACATGGCTCCTTGGTGAGCAGGCCTCTTTCCCAGATGCATTCTCTAGCTTTTGCGACAACCCGATCAATGCGATCTTGAAGTCCCGGGAAGTATTTTCGGATTGAGAGAATGGAGTTGACAACACCCGGTGCTCCGTGACAGACTTCAACGAGCTTGTCACGACCTGGTGGGAGAGATGAAGGGAAGTTGCCGCTCTCGTATTGATAGCTGAGCAAGGCGCCTAATTCGGCCTCCAGCTTAGACGCCCAGGAAGGGTCGGTGAGTACGATCTGTGTAATGATACCGATTGCGCCATGGACGGCACCCACGTATGCCTTCCCATGCCACTTCCAGGGACGCGGGCTTTGCATGATGTTCTCGATGACCTCATCGGCCGTGTCCTCGATGAGCTCGGTCACGTCTTTGTTGTGAGCGAACGCCCCGCGGACCAAGCGGAGGAGGTACAGATAGCCAGCGCGACCGTATAGCCATTCGTTGGAGGTCTCATCCTCAAGCATGACTGCAGCATGATCGCAGAGCTCCTTTACAGTGTCTGGGTCTTGTGCAGTCACTGCGTACAGGGCAAGCAGAGACATGATGTCGTTGGAGATACCGCATTTCTTCGGAGATGGCGGCGGAAACTCCTTGATATGAGCCTGAGCTTGTTCGATGTAAGCCGCAGACCATGTGTTCAAGGGGTAGTCATCCAGCTTAAGATCCGGGTATATGTTGTGCAGGGCATAGAAGAGGTAGGCTACTGAAATCGGTCCGTAGTATAGACCACCGCCTGGGGGTACATGATGCGGAGGATAGTCGGTAATCAATCGATCCAATGACGCTAGCAGTTGCTTGTGAGGATCTCGTCGTGCCAACGGCGCATCATTCCGAAAATAGCGGGGTATCGAGGGAGACGGTGCTGCTTGTGTTGCCGAATCTGCAGGCGGCGCGCCGTCTTCGGACATGATGATAGAGTATATTGAGTCGAGTTGATTCAAATCTCTCGTTGGAAAGCGAACGGGTAAAGTTGGCGCAGATTTAGGCATGCGCGAGCGACGGAAAGGTGTGAGATCGTAGCTGCCCGACTGTGACGTCAGCGGGGCTAGTCGTCGATGATTGGTCAGCTGCGGCAGTCGCAGGCTAGAACGAAAATTGGCAAACATCACACCAGGAACTCCATGTGCTGTGCTGGTGCAACCTCGAAGTTTCTAAGCTACCGGAGCTATGGGGTATCTGAATCTCCTTCTCGTCTGATGCTGTGATCAGTATTACTACATTGACTCATAACATTCTTCCGTCTAATTTCGACGCCTGCGTCTCGTACAGTTACAGTATTCATCACATCTCGCTGATTTGATATGTCCCAGCGGCTTCTGTTGTAATATGATCATGATCGAAGAAAGGACTAGCCGTGGGCAGCATGGCCTGGCCATGGTATGGGCTCAGCGGGAAGCTCAGAGAGACGTGCCATCGAGTCATTCCGATGGAGTTCATGCTGACCTATCTCTCGACTGTCTAGCTGGGGTGGATCTTCTGGTTCCGTGATCGAGTCTGCTCTGTAAAGTGCTGCTATCTTCTGCTGGAATTGGGTGGATGCTTTCCCTGGATGGAGTCAGCACTGTGTACCGAAGATCGAGGCGTAACGCGTGGGCTTACTTGATAACTGCGATGTCATATCGTCACCGACCAAAGGAGAAGGGTATGTGGCTGCTTTGTATACTTTCGCCCGCCGTCTATTTTTTAGGTATAGCAGTATAGAGGCGATCAATGCGCACAAGATGACTGTGCCTAGCACTGCGCCGACCACGGGCGCTACGATCGACGACCGAGCGTGACCAGCTGATACTGGTGCGTTGATAGACGGTGTCGCTGTGGCTGATGAGCTCAGTGTAACAGTCTCCAACGGGGACTCTTCTAGGCTTAATGTAGACCCAGTATCAAGGGACGACCCAGAGGCCGTTGGAGAAGCTATTGAAGAAGTCGTCGCGGTGATCGATATCATCAAGACCGATGTAATTGGTGTAGGCGACAATGTATGTGAGGCTACTCACGGTCAGCTCTTACAAACGCTCAACATACTGGGTGTACTTACATCGCCCTGGAGTCCGGTCCTTGTCGGCAGGACAGGTACTACCTGGCATGCATGGGTCTATCGTGCAGCAGCCACGGAAGTCGTTGCACTTGTAGAACACGCCTCCCTCCGGGCATGAGCCATCGTCTCTTCCTCGAAGTGCGGGTATCATTGTGTGAGGTTAAATTTCTTGATCGATGAATAATGACGACAGGACGAGAGCGACCAGATATGAAGGTGCGATCACGACCATGATCAAGCCTCATTAGCATGTTTGCATCAAACCATCATCAGACGCAAAGGCAGTGCTGTCGTAGGCCGCCGAGGCGACGCAAACAAAGCGGTGCATCGCAAGGGTGCTCCTTACTGCGCTTCCACGCGAAACGCTCTGCCCGATGCAGCCATGAGGTCAAAGAACTATTGACGCTGCTCTTTGTGTGCCTATAAACGTCGTACGGAAGCTCAACTAATCCTCAGGGGTCGCGTGTGTCGATTTATTAATGAATTCGTGGGATGACCTCGGATGCAGAAGTAGCTAGTCCCACCGGCGGCCCCGACTTCCCCTTCTCGCGTAAGAACTAATGACACCATCACCAACAACGCCACAAATATTGCGAACGTCGCCCCGCCATCGCATTCCACATGGATTATTGTCACTTCTCACATGATGCATCCGGGGAGATTCCTACATGCGTAATTGCGCACATCTCGGTGGTCTGGCCAGGTCATGTCATGCGACTACGCGTACTGATTCGCAACAGCACCACGCGACGCCATCTCGGTCCGGCCGTGTAGGCCATACTTGTCGAGGGAAATCTACTACGCGGCAAGATGCAACACTTCGACAAACATTGACAGACCTTTAGATACCGTAGACAAGCTTCTCAGCGCTGACAGGCCGCATCCACGATTCAGTGCGGATGACACGTATTTCCGCCATACTACCCGCACCAAGTAGCTGGAAGCCATCCTGAACCACGCTCTCTAGACCACCCGGCATCAATCTGATCGGAGCTGGACTCATCGCGGAACCCATACAACCGTTGAGCCATGCGTAAAACGCCACCGTGAACCCACGCGCAGCTGGCGATCGTCGCACAGTAAAGCCTTGGTATTCGACCTCCTCGCCCAAACCTTCCCACACTGCGCCGTAACTTGGCTCAACCGAAATGTTGGGTGCTTTCCAAGCTCCGCCTTCGCGAGATCGGACAATGGCTACCTTTCCGTTGCCTGCGAGGCTTGAACAAGTGCGCTCGACGGAGCTACCCTCAGAGATGCGATCAACGCAAAATGAATGCCAGCACCTCCTGTGAGATCTCTGATCCGCTTTGGTCAATGGAGGTCGCGATAGTCCACGAGAGCGTCATACCCGTAGGGCTCCATTTTGAGAAACTCCCATCGAGCTTCGCTAGGGACGCCGTACAATCTGATAACTTTGCCGCTGGATCTGGCACTGAGTCGTACCATCTGCGCGGCATATACTGCCACTGATGTCGATGCGCCGCAGATGAGAACGTTGGTTGTACCAGGTCCATCTGCTTCGTTCTGTATGGCTCTCCAGTCTGGGTGCTCTTGAAAGACTTGGTCGCGATCGTAAGCAAACGGAGCTTGCAGGCCCAGGCGGTACCATATCGCTTGCGCGGCCGTGAGGGCTACGAGGCTCACACCAGCAGCCTGCTCCATGGTGACTTGCTCATGTATTCTCCAGACTAGCTCCCACGGTGCGACAACAAGTTCTGCGAATGCACCTGGCCGGTCATTGACGCTGCAAGCACCTTGCGAAAATCCCCCGACCTCATCGCCGATGCAAAGGTTCGCCTCCACGGGCACATGAGCATCTCCACGCTGCAGCATGTCGCAGCGCCGGAACCAGTAAGTAGGAATTGAAGATTAGTAGGCTCGGCCCGTTGGCGGCACGAAACATCCGTTGCACCTCCACTCTATGTGAAGATGTGATGTGGCTTTGCGCACCCACAACCCCTGTTTAGTCCGTTTCAAGACCATCCAGACCGCAAATCCCTTGAGACTGCGTAATTGGGTGGTACGTGTTTGTGGATCACCTACTCCTTCTCATGTAAATGGAAAAACACATTACCGTGATGGAAGGGGTTGGTGTTGTATAAGATACTCGACCGCTGTGGCTACGCAAACCCGCTTCACCCCATACTCACAACACCACACGCTCGTTACCCAGCATCCACATCAAAATGATGTTCACCAAGTACTCCATCGCAGCAGCTTTCATGCTAGCCACAGCCGTCACCGCAACCCTCGACCCCGCAACCTCCAACACAAACGGCAGCTACCCATCAGCCCCATCCTGCTCCCGTAAGCTCCCCACGCCTCCGCACCCTCACCTTCCTATAAACTAACCCCCTCATAGCCATCAAAACAAGCAAAGCCATCCAAGCCGCAGAATGCAGCCACAACACCCGCACGTCCGGCCAGACCTTTGCTGTCTTCACCCAAGACCACCAGTACGATGGTAACCATGGGTACCCGTATGGCACGTGTGAAGCGTACAACTGCGCGCCGGGGAGTGCGATGAAGAAGAAAGCGGGGACTTGGACGTTCTTCTGGGCGAAGGCGGGGGTTGAGGGAGAGGAGGAGGGAGATGGCGCGGGGTGCATTAAGAGTCCGAAGGATGGGAGTTGTGGGTGTGAGAATTCGGATGGTACGTTCGTGTATAAGGGGACGAACTGTAAATAGACCAGTCAAGGATTCTTGAGGGTCGGGCTGGCCAAGGCGTCTTTGCCATTCGTTGGGTGTATATATTGGAGCTGAGTCTCATCAACACAAATTTCTTGAATTTCGACAAGTAATGCGGGCATGGAGAGGGTGTCTGGTAACCTTATCGTACTTGTGTTATGTTATGAGCAGATGCTTCTCCGCAGGAGCAAGCACATGCACCCTTTCCGATGTACTTTTGCTATCTCCGTCCGCATCGCGCAGTCGCTTCCGCTTTTTTACACACTCTAAACGTGATCAAACTAGCCCAGGAAGACTGTCGAAGACACATGAACAGGTTGAAGGGTATTTTTGAGTCTCTTCGCTCCCATGATGTTCTACCCAGTGGACTTTTCGCGTATTTCAAGATATGCAACTCAACGAGGCAACGCCATGATGCTGGAGAGGTTGATTTTTAGAAAGGCGAAAGAATCGAAAGACATGACAGATCCGGAATAGCCTTTTGATTTCAAAATCGGAAGCTGTGATAAAGAAAGAAGGAAGTACTGTCATGAACGCACGACTTATATACGTGCCGATGAGCGCTTTGACAGTCCAAGCGACATATACGGCCGAACATCCAGTTTTGAGCGCGGACAACTGAGTATTGAGAACCAGGATACTTCGAGCTCATAATGATCTCCTGTTCAAGTTTTGAACACTGGGCAGCACATTCCGGGCTATCGAGGTTTCTGACAGCAGAGCCGAGCCATGAGCGTAAAGCATCCGCCTTTTAGGTAGCAGTCCAAAGCGCCAGTATCCAAGGCCTGCGACTCAACTCCCCAAAGAACATAAGCTGTTGGTAAACTGTTTTGAACAAAGCAAGAAGGCATATACCTCTGGTCACGATACTTGTTACAAGAGAGCCGGCAACATGGTCCAGCTCCGAATCCGTTTTGGTAATGGATAATAGGGGAGGAAGTTGATGAATGAGAGTCTGGAAGAACGGAAAAGAAGTTTATATAGTGACCTCTCGGCGCAGGTATCGATCACTCCATTCTTCTCCTAGTCCCGGTACCCAAACATGAGGAATGCATGTTTGGTTTTGTGATATTTTTGCGCTCGGCGTCAAGACAGATCATGCAGATCATGCGCAGAGTGATACCAAGTTTGGAGTGAATAACCTCAGAGGCGAGAGAATTTTACATGACTGGTGCAGGTGCATCTTTTTGTAAGACCTGGCAGTTCTTCCAGACATCGCAACAGCCGTCCTTTGGTTTGATGGAACTCGAAAAGCCATGAGCTTTTGGATTTCGTATTTTCGTGCCGTCCACAAAGACACAGCAGCGCAGCCGAAACATCCGGGTCCAAAATCTGCTTTTCTGGTGCCAGAGGAGACAGCAGACATGTAATCGTCGTCGGACCATTTTGGTGAAATAAGTGTAATTTTGGAGAGAAGTTGAGAGCAGAGATCCTGCAGTGCAGAACGTGGCTTTTGTAGGCGGAAGCGTCTGGTGGTCGGGGTGCTTTAGCGCCGGGCAAACAACATACGACGATGGTCGTGCGATTTTGGAAGCAGCACATGCGCTATAGAGTCTCCGCGTTTTGTAAGTTCGTTCAGAACTGCCGCAGTCGCATGAAGGAAACAGTTCATATTTTCGATATGCCGTCCGCCGGCGAAGTCATCACAGCTTTCCCATTCTTTTTGGAAGTTTTTAGAAAAGATGGAGAGAAAGGCGGGACATGGCAAGAAGGGCAGGCCCTTTCGAGAAGGGCAGGCCGAGCGGCGGACATGGAGAAGGTGCGAGTGAATTTTGGTAATGGGAATTTAGGAATTATTTTGTAGAAAGGAAGGAGAGAGTGAGAACGTAGGAGATCTTATATAGACACTTCCAGGAGGAGTGCACGTGCGCCAGTGCGCTAGACGAACTGTCCAAAAGATTATCGATGTGAAATCATGGTAATTCTGCGAAACGCGAAGAAGATCAGCAGCGGTCTGCCATGCATCGATGTAGATTACCAAACCCAAGGACTATCGCGCGCATGTAAAGCCTAGTTTAACCTCGCTCCTAAGACCAGCAGGGGAACACCACTCTCCAGTCGTACACCGAGATCGAGAACAATCCTCCATCATCATGCCTGAGGTATCTTCCCCCTCATCCCCGGCGGCAACAACGCATCCGCCTTCCTCGCAGCATCCACCTCCTCAGCGGTCGGTTCCTGCGGTACATCGACGATAACGCTAGGGTCTTTCGATCGCGAAGCTAGCATCGCGGCGCGTTTCTGTAGTATGTCAGCCCAGTGCTCCAATCCCTTCACAAGCCATACACTAGCCACGATCGCGTAGCTGCGCCTCATGACCAAACTCTCAAGATGAGTGGACTAATATAGACATACCGCCCTAACCCCCCTCCCCGCCCCCACCCCCTCCCCCAAAAACTCCGCATCAATCCCCTCCGCATCATCCGGACTCCGCATCGAGCCCCTTACGCCCCCCAAACCATCTCCCATACCACCTACCCCATCTCCCGCTGTACTCATACGCCTCCTCAGCTCCTCAGGCGTTATCGCGCCGCCATCGAGTTCAACCGGCGCATCGTTTATCGCGGGTGTATTCGTGTCGATCAACGGAGTTAGGCTGGAGACTGCTGGACTAGTCTTATGCGGGAAGGTAGAGGTGCGGGAGACGGGGGAGATGGGGTCGGAGGTGGGAGGAGAGGAGGTTGCGGTGAGAGGGGGAGGGGAGATGGTTGGTGGTGGGTTTGTCATTGTGAGGATGGTGGAGGGAGTCGCGATGGCGGTATCTGATGCACAGAGACTGCTTCGTAGGAATGCTGTAGTAGCGGTGGTATGCGTACTTCTCAGCCTCGTCGCGTCGCTCTCACGGCTGTATGTCGCAAGGTAAGGTGCGTGACAAGCAGATGTCGCAGACGTACGTGGGCGGCACAGCTGCCTCTTGTGCAACCCAAGCCTCAGGCAGCCCGCCTTTCGCAGCCTCACGGCCAAACAAAAGCCCGCGAGCGCGTAAGCAAGTCGTGACCGCGATGACGTTTGACAGCCCACGCGCCGGCAATTCAGGGTCCAGCGGTTCAAGTGGGGCTGCAACGCGGCGCGGCAGCTGGCCGGGGTCGATGTCTTGGTATGGACCTTGATCGTCGCCGTACTATATCGGGATACGAAGTGTGCGAGCACGCCACCAGGTCGGTCAAGAAGATTTGGTTGGCAAAGAAGATGTGGAAAATCTGGGTGTATATGTGGGGATTTGAAACAAGCGCAAAGGCTGAGCTGAGTTCATTCATGTTTCCATCGCAGCAGCGCGGGGCACATGGCTTGCTGCGCCTCCTTCCTCCCGCCCTTTTGTACATCCAATAGCTGACGGGTATCTAGCAACACCACCAAGCTTCGGCCCCCGAAAGTACAAGTTATGCAAATACAAACGGCGCTCAAGTCACATAATCATAGGCTCATTACCCGCTCGCAAACAACGTAAGGACGCGAAGTACTAGTTAGACTGCTTCGGCATCAGGAATCCCATGGTGTACGCTTCACCAGAGTTCGTCTTTGTGGAATCAGCCTTGTTGCTGTCAGCTATCAATAACATGCAATGAATCGTGATCATCAGTACTTACGCCCATGTAGACATCCTGCCCGAACATGTTTGCTCGGTTGCCTTGGATAGGTTGCTGGCTCGGTGTCTGTCCTGTGGCTGGCATCCCGTTTTGCTCTGTTTGCATAGGCATGCTACCAAGATCCATGGGGAAGAAGTTGTTGGTCGCTTCCATGCCAGGGTTGGGGCCTTGGATGTACGAGTCCCATGCGTCCTAGTCATGTTAGCCGAGTGATAATCGCGGGATTGTGATGACGACGAACCCAGTTGATGTTGTCTGTCGGCGGGAGATCTAGATTTTGGAACAGATTCGCTCCGAACAGGTTTGAGAACGGACTTGGTGCATTCTCTGGGCCTGTTGGTCCGCTTGTTGGCTGGTTGTATTGTGGTGTCAAGCCCGTCGACGGCTGAGGCATAGGGTCGTTTAGTAGATTGGCCATACCGGCAGGGTATCGCTGATCGAACATGTTGGCATTGGGCGTCATGCCGCCTGTGCTGAGTAGGCCCAGTGTCATCGCTGCCGAATGTTCAGGTGCTACATTGGCGTCTTCCATTGGTGCCATTGTCGGGTATGCGGATGTAGCTGCTTGGAAGCCATTGGGCGTCTGTTTAGCTACCCGGTTCTTCTTGAGTTGATCCAGCATGACACTGAGCGTGGTGTGCGCTTTGTATGCTTCCATGGAGTGATCTTTCAGACCATCCCAGATGCCCACCGCTATCTCTATAGCTTCGAGCATCTCCTCGCAACGATCTGAACTCCACACGAGTGTGTCTCCTGACGGTGGAGATCGAGATGGCGCTTCCCTAGCAGTGTGGTAGAGATCAGAGGAGATGATCATCGCTGCAAGAAGGAAGTCGACAGTGGTCAGCGATGAGATGAACCATTTGACGTTGCGCAACCGACCGCCGGCCTGGCATTCCCGGTGCAAGGTCGCTTGGTGCTTGAGAAGCATCATCGAGGCTTCAATAACCGCTTTCCTGGAGTAGGCAAAACGTGATTGTACTCTCGCATAAGACAGGTACTTTCGATGCAGTACGCATATGATCTTGAGGAAGAGGAGATCCAATGTGAAGCGTTGCATGATCAAGGTAGAAGGGTCGCGCGCCGCTTCATCCATCCCTCGCATCTTGAGATGCGGCGAGATGTTGTCGTGTAGCTCTCGAGCTTCCGCGTCTAGCTTCATGACCTCTTCATACGAAGAGCATGTCAGAGTATCGGTGCACTCGACCGCTTCTCCAAGCTTGTAGATCAATCTTGTCCGATTGATGAGGAAGAGTGTAGGTGTAGCTTCGGTTTCCGGTCTCGAAGGAGGTAGTATCTTCATGTCTTTGTGGAGTTCATCGTCGTATATATTCCGCGGTATCTCAGTGTTGGTATCCCGCGGTCGGACGATGGGTGGCAACCCAGCCTGTGCGGAGAACAGCAGATCAAATGAGCGGACCGCAGCCCAGACACGTCTTCGCATCTCCGCCTGGAAAACGGGTATTCCGGCATATGGCGCCGCATCTCGATGCAAACCCATGCGCATCGCTAGCCGCACAATGATACCCGTGCTTATCAAGATGCCAACTTCTGCATCTCTACTACGAGCATACTCTGCATGAACGTGCAAGATCAAAGTCTCCATCATTCCTGTGATGGGCTGCGTAATATCTGACATGATCAAACATTGCGCCGTCAAGTCTCCGTATTCTCTTGACATCTCCCAAGACTTGTTGTGGTATTCCGGAGGCTCATCGCCAGCTCGTGTGTACGACTGTAACGCGATACACATCATCGCAAACACAGTGCCAAGCCAGATGACAGACGTCTCTTCTGGTTGTGCCCAGTGCCTGTCGTATTCCTCCTGAAACGAGGGCCCGTGTATGATGTGAATGCCGGGATCGTATGTGTTGAAAAAGCGCGAGACAAGGAGATCGGCTGTGGGCTTTGGTGGAAAGCGCGATAGAACCTCGGCTTTCGAGGTTGGTTTCTGTCCGCCCATCAGGAAAGATGTACCCGGCGGTCGATCTTCGACGTGAGTTGCCTTGAATCGCTTGAGCTGATCCTCGTACTGTTTCTTGTGCTCGGCGAAGTAGTTCTTGACTTCCGACAATTCGCCCAAGATTGCGTACCAGTGTGCTTCCGATGCGAATATGGTGTGGTTGTTGTGCACCTTCATTACTCCAATAGACTTTGTAACGGTCTCCATCTCGCTTTCATCGTTCACGTCCTCCTCGGGTATCGACTCGGGAGCGCCGGTGCTCATGCTCGTGATCATTTGGCTTGGATCGAATTGCTGGTCCGGGCCAGCATTGGCCATGCTGTTCGCGATAGCTGCTTGAGCAGCGGCAGGCCCTGCGCTCTGCGCGCCATTGGTCATCAGCGAGAGAACCAGCCCCTCGAGACGGTCAATGCGATTCTGCATATCATCGGGCGTCGTGGCGGAGCCGGTGCTGGCTGAGCTCTTCTTGCGGTTGCCTGGAGCAGCGTACGTACATGATGCCGTATCTCCGCGTTTGGTGCAATTGTCGCAGGGATGACCTCGATTGCATTTCAGCCTACGATGGTCAGCATGTGGCGATGATTGCTTCGTTGTCGAGATGTGTGCCTACTTTCGATGCCTGCATGCTCCACATGATAAGGGAACTCGATTCCGTTTACGTACAACTCTAAATTGCGGATCTGGCGGCGACTGTCCTGCGCTTGACGAAGTCGTTGAAGGCGGAGTGGGCGGCATGGTCGCAATCGCGTCGTCCGCAGGTGTGATATGGGACGACGGAGAATGCGGACTTAAGCGCTAAAGTCCGTTCGAGATATATGATGGAATCTCACGCCTTGGTGGTCGCCTAAGCTGCGGAACTAGGGTGTTGACTGGTCCAGACTCGTGTCGTGCAGAGGTTGGTGGTCGCTAGTATGCGCTTTGCAGAGGAGAGTGTAGCGAAAGGTCGTAAGGTGTGCGATTCTGCGATTGCGGCCCGGTGCGGTCTTAAATCTTCCGGAGCTGAGCTATCTCCATGCGCCAAGTGCTATGACTCTGAGGCGTGGACTTGAAATGGCGATACTGCCCTGGTGTTGACTTGTATGCGACTTGCTTCCGCCCTTCCCACCAGTGAATGTCGTCCAATACGGCACACTTTCCGCTCTTCTTCTCCCGATACTGCCTTTTGTATTGCGCAGACGTACGCTTCAATCGATGCGTAGGGAATCCGTCGTTGGGTGCTTCGTCTAGATTCGGCTTACGCAGCGCTTCTTATGAGGGGGAGGTGCAGCTCATGCAATGGGCAGTCGACCTCGCGGTGAGAGGAATGTGGTCTAGCGGTATATCGAAGGCTTGTTGACACCTGCTAGCCTCTGTCAGCAGCTGCACATTCACAGAGCCATGCGCCGATTCGTACTTACTCTCAAACAGGCTTGCACGCACCGCCAGCTTTCCGTCTAACGCGCCCGCCTCACGATAGCGACCTTTGATGGCGCAGGTTCCTCAATTAGGCCTTTGATGATATGCGCTAGCTTCGGCGACTCGAAATCCACAAGATAAGGAGATCGGAAGAGGTTGTTGTGGTGTTGTAGTCAAAGGCTGGTACAGCCATGGGCAGAATTAGGCGGCCTTTAACTCCGACCACCCTCATCCGTCGCCGCCAAGATGTCCTGCGACATGCGACTCTTCATCATGTCGCCATCACGCATGTCCATATGACTGACAGCACAGATTCGGTCAGCTCCTTCGGTGGCGAGCTCATCTCCACCACTACCACTATCCTGCCTCCGTAGGGTCCCTCATCGCACACAGCTCCTTCCACATGTCAAGATTGCCCGTGGTCGCGCTTGCCCCAGGCGGGGTCGAACTAGCCCACGCTCAAGCCACCTGCTCGCTGGCGGCAACTCAGGCCCGCTACTTCGCACAGCGACAAGCTTTTGACAAGTCTGGGGCCTGCTCACAGTCCTCTGTATCACACATCACTGTGCATATGGTAATTTGATGCGAAAAACTTTCCGAGCGAAACTTTGTTCGAAGAGAAACAGAACTATCTGACGAAATACACAATCTAGGTCCGAACGCAAATATCGATTTCTTCGCAATCACCTCATACAAGGAAAAAACCGAACAGGTCTGCAGGCGACATCAAGCTAAAACCTTGCAAAGTAGGTGACCTAACGTCAACGTAGGCTCTAGGCTGTTCAGTGTTTTCCTAGGTTGGGGTGCAATCATCAATATCATCAAATTCGCCAAGTCGTCTGATCCATCAGGCTCCGTTATTTGGCCCCGCGCTATTGCCATCGCCGTTCGCAGACGCTTGAGGCTCCGCAGTCGCCGTCCAAGGCACCATCTTCTCTGCCTTCGCGTCCCATTTATGCACACCTCCCGTGCCAACATTATACTGGTAGTAATTCTCCGTACCGCCCCTGATCATCGCCTTCCGGAACGTGATATTGATCCTCCCTTTGCCTGCCTCAGGGCCGGCGCGCTTTGGAATACTATGTAGCCAGTTCGCCTGCGTCTTGCCACGCATCAAGACCATATCTCCCGAGCCGAGAGGCAGCTTGATGCCCTTTGGCTCCGCCACCACAACGCCTGCCTTGGGTGGAATAGGCTTGTGCTTCATCAAGAAGTCGCGCTTTGCACCGAGACTGAACGATGCGATTGCCGGATTAGGACCGAGGAACCTCTCATCGTCGGAGTGATACGATATGCTGTCCTTGCCATCGGCGTAGTAATTGACAAGGCAAAAGTTGAAGGTCTCGCCAGTGGTGCCCTCTGTCACCTTCTTCAGTTCCTCCAGACACTGTGGTATAGGACGAGGTGCGCACTTGTAGCGGCTCTTCTCAACTAGCTTTCCAGTCTTTGCATCTACTACGATGCTACCATCAGCTGCAAAGCGCGATGTGTCATCAACACCAAATACGGTCGTAAACCGCGGCGTGTTAATCTGTGTTTGCGCGCCCCCACGGGTAATATTGTACTGCACACGATAGAAGGGAAGTTCCTGTCGAAGGAACTCGAAAAGCCCTGGCGCAATACCGGAAGGTACGTATGGCTGATAGTATACAAGATCCAGATCCAGCTGGTCGTTCATGAGCTTGCCCTCTTCCGCAGGTGCAAATCCCAACTGTTCCGTGAACGGGGCAGGCAGATGTGGGATGGCGAAGGGATAAGACGCATGGCTTGACTTATGAAGACTTGCTTCATATCTGGGCTTCTTGGGCTCAGGGCGCTTGAAGAACGAGTCAATGGCACCTCGCTTCAGCGACATGGTCCTTGAAGCTGTGTTGGTCCACACCTGTCCAAGCCTTCCACCAACTATCACGGGCTGGACGACCTTCACTGTCACTATCTGGAAGCGACGCGACTGTTGTACGTGACAATTGTGAACTTCTTGGGCTCTTGCCGAAACTTGAGAGCGAGGAACAGAGCGACGGGGTGTACCTGGAGCAGAATTGAGGAATGTAGAACGTGTAGTGATCATTGTCGCGACGCGTCTTCGCGCTGATACTATTCAACAGGTCGATGACGTACGTGATTGGTCTGCACAGACGTCGACGTGATTGGTTGACGGCCGGTAGCGGGCCTTGACACCTGGGCAGGTGCGCGATCCTGTCAACTTCTGAAAGACTGCACCACAAAATCACATTCCATCAGATCTTTCCATTCCCAGCCCTCGTCTCAATCTCGCGCATCAGCGCGCAGACATCGATCCGGGCCCGCAATTTAGATGCGATATTTTCCTATGCGCGTTCCCGAGGGCGCGCGCCGTGCGACACGAGACGAAGCCCACACGCGTTCGAGCTCACGAGTAGCAAATGTTATGACGATGCGACCCGCCAGCAGATCTCGCAACTCTCAACCAAAGTAGAACGGCCGCGCAAGGGTGTCCGCAGAATGGAGTAATTGCTAGCTCATCACGAGAGCTATGTATTCGTTCTCAAGATTCGCGGGCGACGCGAGTCGAGTCCGCGGGCCACCAACGCACTCCAAAGAGCCGGTGAACGCGACTCTCGGTCATCATGACAACAATTCAGTCAATGTCGACCCTACCATGGATCACTGAATAGCATGTTCGACGCGGTACCACACAGCTGAAGTCGATGCATTGAAGCCTGAGGATCTGTGCCCCACCGGGGTTAGCGTATTGTACTTAAGTGGTATCGCGGGGTAGTAATCATCTCAGCAACGCTTCCCCCAAGTACCTCTTTTGCCTGATACACAACAGCCCTTACTAGCCAAAAGATTTGAGACAACAGCAATGGCCTCGAAGGATGCCAGTCTAGCGGTGTTGATAGACGGTGACAACGTTTCACCCCGGGTCATTGTCGGCTTGATGGCTGAGATAGCCAACTACGGCACGGCCAGCGTAAAGCGAATCTATGGCGACTGGACTTCTCCGTCGCTCAAAGGATGGAAAGAGTGCTTACTTAATCACTCAATAACACCCATCCAGCAATTTGCGTACACCACGGGCAAGAACGCAACTGACGGCGCTATGATCATCGACGCAATGGATCTGCTATACACTGGCCGCTTCTCCAGCTTCTGTATCGTCTCGAGCGACAGCGACTTCACCCGGCTCGCATCTCGCATCCGGGAGCAGGGCGTCACCGTGTTTGGGTTTGGCGAACGCAAGACAAACAACGCGTTCATTGCCGCTTGCGATAAGTTTACCTACTTCGATGTACTCAATCTCCCACCCGAAGAGACGACACTTGCGGACCGCCCATTCGGCTTCGTCGATTCCCACCCTGTCGTCAACACAATTCCAAGGCTGGGCAAAAGGCCTCTTGATCAGTCAGCAGTCGAGGGCTTGTCCAGGGCCGTGAATAGTTGCAGGAGCGACATTGACAATTGGGTTCATCTAGCCGACGTCGGCGTCTACCTCAGCAAGATCTCGCCCGACCTCAACGCACGCAATTACGGTTACGAACGCCTGCGTGATTTCGTGGAGGCGTCTGGGATCGTGGACATCAAGAAGAGAGATATGGGTGACCATCCTCCCGTTGTTCTGGTCCGTCTTAGAGAGCATCGGGATCGAGCCTAGTCAGTAGGGGAAGAGGCCTCTACGGGGCCAAATGCAAGTTGTGTCACTCGTACAGGTGTCATGATGAGATGTTCAGCAAGTGGGGAGATTCCTTAGCTCCGCGATCATTTCATAACGAACAGATCATTTCACATCAGAAGTCATACTGGGGAGAGTGCGAAGTGTAAGGTATCATGGTATACCTTGGATGTACCCGACACTTCAACGTTGCCTCCGATATACTCCGAACCGTGAACTATCCATCCATACGTCTACTCCATCTTAATGGCAGGTACCTCTTTCCATCGTTTACTTCTTTTCCTTCTTTCTTGTTCTACCTGGGTTCATGAATTCTTCAAATTGTTTATCTTTTTCGTTCACCTTCACGTTTTCCTTTGCCTCCCGTTCCGCCTTAGCTTCACGCGCCCATTTGCCCTTACATGATTGACAGCCAGGCTGATTCTTCATGTGAGACTGGTTGACGCAGCCTTGACGACACGGCATTTGGTGCTTCTTGCAGTAGATGCCCCCTAGGTCCCCGTGATACTTTGTGTTGCAGCCACTAGGGCTCCATTCGCCTACCCAGCCGTTTTCGCCAGGACAGTGATGTATAGTTTTCTTAGTGTGCTTCGTACATCTGGGTTGATCCGATTCGCCAAAATTTCCCATGGTGATAGTGTTACAGGGGTCACTCTAGTTTAGTCTTTGGTTGTTTGTGGATTGTATTACTGTCGGGTTGCTTACAAGTGTTGCGCTGCACGTATGGAGCATTATATACGCAGACTCCAAGAAACCCACTGCGACAATGCGGGACTTGACTCGGAGAAAGTGAATCACATTGAGCATTCACACCGCTCCTGCAGTGATGGTTCAGAAGGAAACGACCTTGTGCACCGACAAGGCTTGGCGTCCAGCAAACAAAGAGCTACGGCACAACAATGCGCCCTGACACCTTTTAAAGATCCTTCCACCTACACTGCAACGTTCCTCCGTATTCAGAAGTCGCATCATGTCGACTTGCTCCCCCAACCCGGCGGCTCCGCCGACACGCATTTCGGATGCGCCAGACTCTGTCAACGCCCCCGCCGAGGACACTTGCATGCAAGACCAAGACAAACCAAAAGACATTGATGATGAACAGCATCACGATGTAGCAGACGATGCAGTCTCAGAAACAAACACGATGATTTATGGCCAGGAGCCATTCGAGACGATCCAACACAAAGTCGCCGCACTAGCCGCGAAGATATTCGGGCGAGACCCGCGAGACATCACAGTCTACGAGATGAAGGGCGGGTCTTACAACCGAGTCATCGGCGTCTCAATCGCGCAAAAGCCCAAAAGGTTCACCTTGGCCTGGTTTCTGTTTCCCTGCTTGCGCGCGCGCAAGAAGAAGGCGGCTACGAAGTCAGAGTCGTACGTCGTGCGCGTCCCGAGAATGGAATACAACAATGACGAATCCATGGCCCAAGCCATGGAAAGGGAGGTGTCAATCCTGAAGGCAGCGGGCTCTCGGCTGCCTCTGCCCATTCCCAAGGTTGCGAGCTATGATCTTACCACTGCAAATATTTTCGAACGTCCATACATGATCCAAACCCATCTCCCTGGTCGCACTCTCGCGACGAACCTTTGGAACAATCTCAATATGGAGCAGAAGAAGCACCTCGCCAAGGAGATCATCGCTCTCGCTCCCACCATCGCCTCAGTAGAAGGATCAATTGGCGACATATCTTCTCAGAACCTGAACAAACCTCCGACTTCTCCGATCTTAACCCAGACGTTTTATATAACAAGTCGTGAGGGGTTTAAGCCTGAGCCGGCTTTGAACGATGACCCTTTCGACTACATGCTTGGGCGATGCAAGCAGTGGAGCGAATACCACAACTCCGAGGACGCTCCTTTCGACGACATCTGGATAAGCTTCGCGAGGATCACGAAGGCTCTAGAGGCTCGTGGCTTTCTCGAAGGGCCATGTGTACTCGTTCATGGTGATCTCAAATGTTACAACATCCTAGCCGAAGTACGTAGTGACACCGAGGCTGTCGTCACAGGCGTTATCGACTGGGATACGGCCATTATCGCGCCAGAGTTCATGGCTTATAGAGCACCGTTTTCCCTTTGGACTCCTGAAGACATGCCTAGCGCTAAGGAAGATGACGAAAGCGTGGCCAACGTGGAGCCCGTTACTGAGGAGGACAAGATCTTGAAGCAAGTTTTCCTTGACAATGCGTCGGAGAAGTACAAGTTCTTTGCCTTTGCACCAGAGGCAATGCTTGCTAGACGTATGTTCTATATCATGCAGAAGGGGGCGAATAGTCCTTGGTACAATGATGAGGCAATAAGCGTTGTCAAGGAGTGGGATAAACTCCACCCTGAGGATAATGTTCGGTTCCGTTATGACTGGCAATCCGACTCTGAGTCCGAGTCTGGCTCTGATGATGAGCCTACAAAGGATGATGAGCCTGCAAAGGACGATAAGACTATGGAAGACGACGAGACTACAAAGGACGATGAGCCTGGTAAAGACATTGAGCCTACGACTGATACAGAAGAAGACGAACCCATTGTCACGGAGTAGGAGTTACATGTTTTCGATATGTGAAGCAAATGCCAATACTAAATCACTTGGTCCCATCCTCGTATTGAAACTTTTGCGTTCTCTCTTGCATAGCATGTGAAATAACCAGTGCTTTGACATGAACGTACTTCATTGGTTCGGTCAGCTCTCTAGAATACGCACATCCAATTCCAGTTAGCTATGCGACTATGGTACCATCAAGACATGTGTCTTGAGAATTCAAAGCTACAATATTTACGTTAATGTCCTCGAAGTGATGATTGGCTTAGACCCATGAGTGATTGTAGTACCAGACAAAGGTTATCAACGGCATGTGTCATGAGACCTCTTAGATCTGATTGTGTTGGTTGTTCTCTCAGAAGCTGTATCGCTTACACAGCGCAAGCTTGTTCCAATCTGATCACATAATGGAGAGACGCTGTGCACCTACAGCGACCGTCGTTTTCGAGCAATTGCTGCAAGTCACTTCACACTGCACAAACTAGTTCAATATCGACAAAACTATCTGCACGATCCTCCTTCATAGACTCGTCAATAGCGGGAACAAGAACGGTAAAGTGCATACAAACATCAAGGCCGCACTTGATGGCGCATCTCGATATGTCACTTCAAGGACTGAGCAAAGTTGACATCGCCTGCATTGAAGCGGTTAGAGGATACCTCCCAGATCGCGTCGCGAGCAACGATGAACTGACAACTTCTGGACATGAGAGCGAGAACCCCTTACGACGCTTGTTCGATGACGAAAACATCTTCACTGAGGGTGGCGTAGGCTTTCTCGAAGGGAGAGAAACAGTCTTGAGACTGAAGTTCCGAATTCTGCAACTCGTTGCCGATCTGTTCCCTGAGAGCGAGATCGAAGAGTCTTCACTCCAAGTGCTTGGTATGGGCTCTTTCAATATCGTCGTAGCTGTCACATTACAAGACAATGCGCAACGACGTGACTCCGGGGTCGACTTTAGCGCTAGAGTGTCAAGGTTTCTTGGCATACCTCCACGAATCCGTAGGTTTGCTTTGAGAATCCCAAGGGACAAGAAGGGAGACATGGATGGTCCTCCTGTGAGCGACGTTGCTGGCGACATTGTTACTCAACGTGTTATCAGCTCCTGCCTAGTGCTACCCATACCCAAGATTGAGAAGTACGATCTTGGTTCGAACAATGCCTTGGGACGGCCATTTACCCTGCAGACCTTACTACCTGGTAAGAACTTACATGCATTGTGGCTAGAGCTAAATCCGCAACAGAAAGCATCGGCCATTCAGCAGATTACGCGAACAGTGGAGAAGATTGCAGCCGTCACGACGCCCGCGGCTGGGTTCATCTCCTTGAGTAATTTGACCTCAGAAAGCCCAGCTATAGCATTAGATCAAATCCCCGTTCCGACGGACAAAGAAGCGAAGTTACGACCACACTTCGCTCAGCCCGGCCAGCTCCCAGCGCCATCTCAAACACCCTCTAAGTATCTGATTGATCATTGCCAGCGCTGGCAGAAGTACGAAGAAGAGATTGGACGTGCTAGTCGAAACAAAAACCTGTGGCAAATCACGATCGCCGTTGCGAAAGCTCTAGATCGGCGCGGATGGCTGGGGCAGCGCTTCCATCTTACGCATGGCGACTTGTTTCCCCGCAATATACTCGCTAAGATCACAGGCCCAGAGACTGTGGAGATCACAGGTATCATAGACTGGGATATGGCTTGCTTCGCACCCAAGTTTGTGGCCCTCCGGCCCCCGTTCTGGGCGTGGGCAGGTCACTCGATGGACGAGAGAGACGAAGACTTGGCAACATACGAGCCGCCTGAGGGAAGATTCATGACTTTGAAGCAGGTTTTTATGAGCGCAGCGTCAGAAGAGTTCATCATATTTGGTCTTTCGCGCGAGAGTGCCATCGCGAGAAAGCTGTTTAGGGTTGTCAATAGTGGGTTGCTGGGCGATCGTCGGCATCTGGCGCTTCAGCTGGCAGAAGAATGGAATGGCTTGTATCCGGAGGATAAGATTGGTGATCTTGAAGCAGAGTGGAATTAAGGGAAGTTCACTTCGTTGTGCATATAATTCCCCCCGCGAAGCAAACAAACGTATGTTGTTCTTACTTCCTACCTACACGCGTGCAAGATTCGATGCAAAGGCCAATGAATGATCTCGAAGAACTTCGCAACTACTAAAAACACGTACTGGTTACTGAAGTTGAGATCCCTCATCTCAGGGTGATGTAGCAGTGATGGCCCTTGGGAGCAATCAAGAAGTTGTTGTCCATCTCCATCATCTCATCGCTCATGGAGTCGGAGATTCTGGCGCCGCGACAATGTCGGAAGAAGAGAGCAGCTCCTAAGCGGAGCTCCATGTACGCCAGATGTATGCCGATACACACCCTCGAGCCAGCTCCAAAGGGCATGTATGACGCCTTCTGATGTGCTGACATCATGCTCTTGTCCAAAAAGCGAAGACCGTCGAAATTGTGGGGATTGGGAAAGGCGGAAGGATCGCGATGGTTTGTGTAAGCCTGGGTGCTGACCACAGTATCGGCGGGGACGTGATGGCCGCCTATGACAGTGCCCTGTTTCGGTACAACCCGAGGTAACGCACCAGGAGCAGCGCCATAAAGCCTCAAAGTCTCTGCGATGACGCTGTTCAATAGAGGCGCAGTCTCGAGCTCTTCCTTCGTAAGCTCCTCGCTGAGTTCTCCAATCTCGCTCTCGAGTCGAGACTGCAGATCGGGCTGCTTGAGAACCGCCCAGACGAGATACGTGAGCGTCACCGCGGTAGTGTCCGATCCGGCCACAATGAAGCCGGCCGCTTCCTCCCTGATGTGTTTGTTCGAAAGCGCGGCAGTCTTACTGTCTTCCCCAGCAGCTATCATTTGATTGAAGAGATTCTTGGCATTGCCACCCTCACTGCGCATCTTCTGTATCGCCCGCTCGCCGTGTTCGTTTAGAACATCATCGATCGAGTAGAGAAACTTTATCCGTTCGATGGGGAGGTAACTGAGAAGTTTCCAGATGGTAGTTCCAATTTCAGACCGAATGATACCGCAGATAAGCGCAGCCTGAATAGCATCGATGTATGGTGTTTGCTACCTCTGTTATTAGAAAATGCATACAAAGCAAGACTGAAGAAGGCTGAGTTGCATACCTTACCCATCTCAAGCATTTCGGAGCTCTCTCCAAAGCTGAGGTGAGCGATTACATCATTCGCCATGAGCGTCCACCATTTGAGGACATCGGCTCCTTGCGATGAACCCATTGCGTCGTGTCGAATTCTCTGGACAGCTAGGTTTGCTTTCGTCCTGATCTCTACGTCCCAGTTGCTGCTCAAGCTGGTGTTGCTGAAGGGTCGGGCAAACAGCCTTCTTCTTGCGGCGTGGGCATGTGGATCGCGCATCGGGAATATACCGGGTGTATCAGTTGGAAGGAGAGACGAGTAGAAGTCCGACTTCAGGTATCCCGCACCGATCTTGTGTATCTGACTGACACCGGCTATATCTGATACGGCTGTCTCGTTTGGCGATATTCGTACGACGCCGCCATAGCGCTGGTGAAGATTGTCCACGTAGAAAATTCGTTTGCCTGAAACCGTCTGGTAACGAAGGACGAGATTGGTATACTTGGTGTACCATGGCCCTGGCAGCTTTGACAGTGGACCTGTAAGTCCTTTCCACACAATCTTTGCATTGTTAGCTTGACGTAAAGCAGCTTGTTATGACTCTTTTACCTTGATGATGTAGGCCAGTACCACCAAGAGAGCGGCTAAAACGCCCCGCTGAAGTGGCATGTTGATGAAGTTCGAGTGAGCTCGCAGTTCCCGCCGGTATTGATCTTGGTCGAGTAGAGAACTGGTTTTGTGATCCAACTTGCAATATGTTCTCTCAAATCTCTAGCTGCGTGGGCCCTTTACATATTGCCAGCACTTGCGGAATGTGGAGGCTAAAGCCGTGAACGGCCCTTCATTTTTCGCGGTGGTTGTTAGATTCAATGGTGACGCGCATCCTGGAGGGTACTTCGTGGGCCGCCTTGGAAGTAGCACAACTGGCAGACGCTCGCATCCGCACCATGAGAGACTTGATGCATTCGCTCAAAGCTGCCGGTCAAAAGCATGGATGATAGCGACCGAGCAGTGGGTCTGAACGCATTTGGGGACACACCATCAGACGCGACCAGTCAGGAGGCTTGGAGGGCATACGAGTACAAATACACGCAATTGGTCAGTCGAAGCCGATTGATGAGGGGGTATTGCATAGGAGTGGGCGGAGCGGTGTATTTGATTCTCCGCCTCCACCTACGAATGGGTCGGATGTGTTGTTGCCCCGAATGAGGCCTTGTGCACCCTAGAACGAGCCTCGTTTCGAGTCGGCCGAACTGCGCTGGGTAACGGTGTTACTCTAGAGATTGATCACGGGGCCTACGGACGCCACGGCCGCCGCCGTAGCTCGTAAGTCGCTCGTACATTCCAGGATTAGCTCCCAGGCTAGACTTTATGAAGATTAGCGTGCGGGCCGCGAGCGGGGAAGGTGATGACGTAAGGAGGCTCAACAATGTCGCCAAAATCTATTCTCGCCATCTCCAGCTTGCACATAACTACTCAATATCGCTAGCGAACTAATGGAACAGGCTGACTTCCCGAAGAACACATCGCGAGGGTTCGCGAGCTTGCCATTAGAGCTGTTCCTCAACGTTCTCGATCAACTTGTGGGTACCCACAACGGCCAGCATCCTGTAGCGTATGCACCGTCAAACATCATCACCAAGACGTTGTGCGCACTCACTCTGGTGTCGCGCAACACTTATCTTATAGCAACACAGTATCTTTACTCACATTGTCTGTATCTGGACAGTTGCACGACCTATGCGCGATTTCGCAGAACACTCGGACTAAACCTGGGGCATCACCCACAAGCTCTCAACTATGGAGAAGCCGGGCGAAACGAAGAACTGTTCGCGGAAGCCCAGGCACTCCGCCATATAACATCCATATTCATCTCACCAACCGAGGTGCGCAGGCTGATCGAAGGCAACTACACACCTTTGGTGCGACTACCACAAATAATAGACCTTTGCCATCTGATCGGGAAATCACTCAAGAGACTGGCTCTAGACCTCTCTCCAATTTATGCACCACCAAGTGAGGTTGAGCAAATCAGGCCGCATATTACCGAGAACAGGGTCTTTTCACACATGTTGCACCTCGAAGAGCTCATTGTCAGCTACGATGTGGTCAACTACTTTCGACATCCACCGCCCAATCTCAAACGGCTTGCCATCACTACTCAAGAGATGTCGGATCTAGAAATAGCGTTCTGTCTCAAGACCCCATCCTTGCAAACGCTTGTGATGATGCGACCCGTCAATCTAGCAGCGAAAGACATCGACACGATATTCAGATCATACGACGGGAAAAGCCTGGACGTCGTTTTGGTCGATGTGAACTCGAACCATCGGACACCAAACAAGACCCGGAACTGGACACATCAAGATACAGTACGTATCTGGGAAGCTGATGTACCGGTCAGCTTTTACGGCGATGAGGACGACATCATTTTGTGCGATGCCTGGATATGGAATCACGGAGTAGGTGGTACCCTATGGAGTCAAGACAAGCGGCGGATGGCATCATGGGAAGAGATTGAGAAGCGTCCGGCCGGACCAGTACACACCATTGTTGATTTGTAGCTTCGAGGTTATTGCACACATCGGGACATCACGGCTTCAGCAGCACCAAGGTGGCATCAACATCGGTTTCGCATTTCTTGTGCGAAGCAGCTCTCGAATCGACCATCCATCCGCATGCTTAACCCCCTCGCAATGAGGAGTTACACATGTCTTTCCGGTCCAGGGATATTGTCTCCCCAGGTTACACCCTCTTGTACCAGCAAGCTCCCCGGAAACTTATCTTTCAGTGTACCTCGCCCGACTATATCGTCTGCTTCTCTTTCCAACTCTTCTATATCCCATGTAGCATGCACATAGCTGCCCTTCAGCTTATCTGCTCTTCCTCCGCCTAGCCAGACCGAGAACATGCCCGCTAGCTCCGAGTTATCAAACGCAAAGGGCTTGAACATATCGCTTGTCCTCTCCGTCCTCACAACCCCAGGATCTAGCGAGAAAGCCTTCATATCTGGGTATTCGGTATTGAGGAACTCGATGAGCCGGCGATCGGTTTGTTTCGCAATGCCATAGGAAGAGAGACCGGGGGTCACGACGGTACCCGCACCCGAGGTGATGGAGATGAATGTTCCGGTCGGTGCCGGACCAAATGTGCGGATGTATTGGTGGGCGGGAAGATGTGTGCTGCGGAAGTTCGTTGTCATATCGGCCCACCACTCGTCGTTGTCGTCGGTCTCATCTATCCTGCTGAGATGTGCGGTACCGACGTTTGCGATGACTACATCGAGTTGACCGAACTCCTCTCTTATCGCATCAAAGAGTCTGGCGACTTCGGCCGATTTTGTGGTGTCGCAAGCCATGGCCAGGACCCGTGTTGTGGGGTTGAGTCGCTTCAGCCTGACGATGACGGGCTCGAGATCGTCTTCATTGCGACTGCTGATGGCGATACCGGCGGCTCCCGCCTTTGCCCACGAGGAAGCGATTGCCCGGCCGATCTCCTCCGAAGCTTCGGTAACGAGGACGTATTTGCCGGCGCCTGTCTGTTGTACTTCTTCAAGAGCGGGATATGGTTGGCGATAGTATGTGCTAGTGAATTGGCACATCTTCGTGAGCATATCTGGGTCAATGTGCTGGGCGATCATGGCGACGACGAGAAACTGTGTGGTATCTCCCTGCGGATGTGGTGGATGACTTCCTGATATCATCATTACATCCCCCAGAGACGGCTCCTCGCGGAATTAGCGTGCTATCAGCATCCGCCCGACGCGATACCACTTCAGAAGGCTTCTACACTCCCTGTGGTGTTGAGGCAACAACAACCGGTCACCAGCACCTCGGCAACATCCTTCGCGTGCTCGACCCACGGACGAGTATACCCAAAAGATAATGTCGATGATGGTTATATGCAATCTAAAGTTCTTTCACATTCCTAACATCTCTTTCACAGCAACGTCCTGCATGTGCTGCTTTGATAAAGGTGTAAGGCTATACGACCAAGCCAGTCATAAACTTCCCACAACCTACTCCAGGATGAATAGGCAGGTCTAGGACTACCCAGCAGATGACGTGCCGGAACCAGACACCAGTCTTTAGGCATCTTGGAAGCAGATGTCTAAGTATAGAGTGCTTCTAGGGAGAAAGTGTACAAGAGCATCTCGCTACTATCCGCGGCGGCCTATAAATAGGCCGCTAACATGCAGGCTGGAGGGCCCACAACACGGCTAAGACACCGATAACAGGGTGGTTGGAGGCTGATCTATCCAAAATGTGGTCCAGACATTCGCCTTACGGTGTTGTGAACCAATGCGAAGCGATCAGACAGGTTGGCGCTCTCGCGTGTGAGCATTTGGGGGCCAAAAGTGCGGCCAGATTTTACCGGCGGAATTCTGCCGGTCACTTCTCAACATGGAATGCAGCGCGAACCTCGGAACAGCACGTGTGAACTTCTGTGTATAATGGCGATGATTGTTCGATTGACAAGCATTAATTTGGCATCTAATGCGGTGTTTGTGGATATCGCCGAGGTAACCACGCATCCTCTTTCGTTCGCCACCCACATTATCCCATAGTACTACGATAGCGCAGAGCGAAACAAGCTACTCACAACTTCCGCAACATCGACAATCTAGACAAGAAGGTACTCTCATAAATAACAGAAGTCGTGAGTATGACATACCATCGCGTATTTGCAGTAACGACACACGTCTTCTCTACCAAACCTACGCAACAACCACCTCCTGCGCCCCAACATCCATCTTCGCGCCCTCCCCTTTCCTCGTCTCCTCCTGACCCCTCTTCCACTCATCCGCCCTCCCATAACTCTCCCTATACCCCCCCAAAATCGCCTCTTCAACCGTAATCTCCCCCCACCTCACCCCCTCCCCCTCCCCCCTACAATTCGGCAAACAACCCACCACATACTCCGGATTCCCGCTAAAAAACACCGGAATACTATACCTCTCCCTTCCACTCACATTGATAACACGATGCAGATTACTCACATACCGGTCGTTACTCCACCGCATCATCAGATTGCCTAGGTTGATGACGAAAGCACCAGGGGTGGGTGTTACATCGAGCCATTCCTTCGTGGCGTGGTCGTAGACTTGCAGTCCGGAGACGGTGTCTTGCAGGAGTATGGTTATGCAGCCGAAATCTGTGTGCGCGCCTATGCCGCGGGTGAGGTGCGTGGGGCTCGAGCGGGGTTGGGGCGGGTAGTGCAGGAGGCGCATTGTTGCTACTGCGCCTGTGGCGAAGGCGTCGAAGTAGGTTTCTTCTAAATCGAGTGTCAAGGCGAGGACTTTTAAGATGTCTTTTGCGAGGGAGACGACGCGGGCGTAGTATTCCAAGGATGTTTCTTTGAAGTCTTGGACATTGGGTAGGGAGGCGGCGGACGGCCACGTGTTGGGTCCGGAGTTGAGCGCCTTGTTGAGGAAGTAGGGGTGCGTTTTGGGGATCTCGTCGCCGATGTAGAATCCTTCTTTTAGTTCGGGCGTGGTGCCGGCTTCGAGGATTTGCGATTTGAGGAGCTCGTAGCCGCGGTTCCAGGTGTTGGTTGTGTCTAGATGGAAATGAGGATGAGCTGATGTGCCAAGAAGATATTGCTTAATGGTATGGCTGAACGTACCCTTGTTTACTTTATTCTTCTCCTCCAGTGGTAGGTCGAAGAACCTTTTGTTCCAGTCCATCATCCTGTTTTGCAGCTCGATTGGCACGTTATGACCTGTGATCTGGAAGAACCCATTATGCAGGCAACAGTTTCGCACTTCGTCTACGAGCTGTTTCTTGGATGCTGGGTCGTTTTGGTAGAACTCTAGGCCTTGTAAGCAAGGTTTCGACTGCTAAGGCTGTTCAGCGGGTCAACGTACTTGAGAAGTCTAGGATGGGAGGCGCTTGACCGGCGTTTGGCATGGTGGGCTTTCTCGGCCAAGTTCAGTGGGGTATCAAGTTAGAGAGGGTGATTGAAGTGACCAAGTGGTTGGAATGTGCTGATATTTAGGTATCTGGTCACGTTGGGTGTGGTTTCTAAAAAGCAGCAGCGAGCTATGGAGACGTGTCGCCTGCAATTATACCACGATTGATCGTTACTTCCGCTTTCCGTCATTATCATATCCCAGTATGTCGGTTACCCCTCAAAAGTGTTGCGCTATCGATAACAGCGGTTATGTTGTCGAAGATGGGGCAAGTGGGATTGCGAAGCCCTTCACCCCACTCTTGCTGTGAGCTTGTGATTGGCCACGCGACACATCATCTACGCTATGCATCATGCATAACAAGAGGTATTCTGCCAAGATCAAGATGTGCTATTGAGTGCAGACTGACATATCGCGTGGCTTCTTCAACCACCACTATACTGTATCGCAGCCCTTAGTCATGCGAGTCGATAGCCCCGTCATCCTCGTCCCGCACATCGTCGAGCTCAAGGTCTTGTTGAGCCAATGTGTATATGCCTGCATCTCGATCCCCAATGTCCATGCTTGCATCGGTGTCATCGCTTTCGTCCCTCGCGTATGCGGTGGCAAGCCTCTGATCGTAATGCAGCTTCTGCCATGCATCGACAATAGACCTGGCTTCCTCTTTGTCTCCATCACGACGAATACCGTCTCTGAGCAGAGCAAACATTCTCCTCGCGATCATATACTCCGGTTCGTAGGCATATCGCTTCCACTCGACACTCACCGCTTCCTCCCACGAGCTCTTCAATCGCCGGTAATCAGCATCTTTTGGCTCATCTGCAGCTATCATCTCATCGTACTCGTGACCACCCGATATCCATAGCCAGAACGGCGCACGATAAGCGACGAACTTGGGGCAAAAGTATGCGAACTGAGCATCCCAGTCCAGCAGTCCGGTGAGTGAGAGCGATGAATCATCTTCAATCTCTACGAGCATGTTTCGTGGATAGAGGTCGAGATGGCAGAAGTAGAAACGGTCGGTATCCGGAATAAAGCCCATGTTGTGAAGGGATTTGGTGATGATATCGAAACAATCCCATATAACCTCATCGCGGTCCTCCTGATCTTGCTCCAGTCTTTGCCATCGACGACTCTGGTGTAGCAAGAATTTACGGGTAGTCATAGCCTCAGCGGGGCGGTCCACAGGTCCTGCAAATGCTGATACCGGGCCCCGACTAGTTCTGAAGGCACAAATCTCCGGGATGACTTCGCCGCGAGAAAGTAGTAGAACTCTTAGTCGGGCAATGATACCTGCCTTGGGTCCCTGAATCTTATGCAATCTCTTCATGACACGAACAACAATGTGCATCGTGCTTATCTTCTGTTTGATCGAAAATCCGAGCCATATCTTGTTAAGATTCTGGCCGGGAAGACGGTGCTGGATGGTATAGGTACGCTACAAAGGATTACGCGTGTGTTCATCGAGATGTATGACCTGAGGCACGATGTTGCCGAATTTTGCGAATTTTATACGCGCGAACTTCAGAGTAGCCACATCATACCTCATATCCAAATCGTCGCTTGAAGGCTCCCTTCGTGCGCTCCTCAGTATGTAGTGCTTCGGCTCGTAAGCCTTGATGTGAGCTTCATTATTGGGTAGGAGCGAACGTATCCATGGAATAGTGAAAGCGCGAGGAGGTAGATGCGTGACGGTGATCGCGGTGATGCGATTGTAAGTCCCGCCGCGCAGGCGCTCGACTTGAAAGCTTGATCTTGGGAATTGAGCGGCGCAAAGCTCCATAACTCTTGTACTGAAGATTTCGAAGGGCTCTTGACCATGTTCCATAGTAGATGTTTGAGATACGCTGGAGGAATCTTCATCTTCAAGGTCGTCGTTACGCCCTTCGTGCTGAGCCGTATTGACGAGGTATCGGCGTATGTCTGAAGCTTTGAATCTGGAATTTGGCATGGAAGCTGTAGGGGTTTGCGCCTTATGGAACGATGTGGGAATGTGTGCGTGCAACTATGAGTAGCGAATCACCTTTTCCAGGCTGATAAGTTGACTTTCGTGCGACATTGCGACTTTTACAAGGTAATATTTGCAGGTGTTTGCAGGGTACGTGCAAACGCTCGCACCAGAAGCTCCATAGGAAGCGGGCCGAAGAGCCCAGACGCTCGATATGAGAGCGAAGGAAGAGAAGGCACATTATTTCAAAAGTGATTGCAATTCACGAATCCCAGAGAACAAGGAAGCTGTTACAAGAAAAGATTCTTGAATACGCCGCCGTTGCCAGACGTCACCGGAACATGCTGATACGCGACTGCCCCAGATGTTAGCTATGGGAACCCATTGTCGATGTGTCTGCGCATGATTAAACGACCTTGAGTATGGGAGCAAGGATATGGTAGAGAGGGACAGCAATGCGACGCGATGAGAGTAGACTCAAAGGAATGCTGGGTGCTGAGATGCGAGAGATGACGGAATGTCTTCCGTCATCGACTCTTGTCGGATTGGCCAACGGAAGCTCCACCTTCCGTCGGCCGCCCCACCATCGCATTAGTGTTGCTTGGTCATGCTCGACATAAGCAGCGCATTCTCCGCCAAGCCTCAGGTTAAGACGCGCCGGATTGTTAAACCTTTACCAACCAAGCAAGCTCACGATGGCACCCACACCAGACCGCCCCGAAGCCTCCCTCGAACATTCTCGTCCCCCTAGTCGCGTTTTGCATAAAGCGCCCCCGCCCGACCCATGAAGACGCTTTCCTCCCTCTTCATCGCCCTCATCGCAATTGCACTTGCAGTATACAACAACGAGTACATGCTCTCGAGACTTACACAGTCACTGAGACACGTCACATCCCTAGCGAAGACTACGAAGCCCTTCTACAACGCCACCGAAGATATGTCGACCATGTTCCGCGGACTGCCCGTCATCCCCGACGAGAAGTTCACTACCGATGCGCCCCGCAAGATCGCAAAGTCCTTCCTTGCTGTTGAGCAGTCCGAAGGCGCGGGAGCGAAAGTGAGGAGGAGTGTTGGCACCCCCAAACTCCGCAACTTCTCTCCCTTCCTCATGCTCGACCACTTTGCCATTCCACCAGGCGCAGGCTTCCCTGACCACCCACACCGAGGTACGTGATGAGCACGACGGAGTACTTAGGATCTACATACTGACTTTTTATTGCAGGCCAAGAAACCATCACATACCTCCTTTCCGGCGCCGTCGACCACGAAGACTTCGCCGGAAACAAGGGTACCATCGAGCAGGGCGACCTGCAATTCATGACCGCCGGTCGCGGCATCGTCCACGCCGAGATGCCGCGCCAAAACGAGGACGGCGCGCCCAACGTCGGAATGCAACTCTGGGTCGATCTGCCCAAGGAGCTGAAGTCATGCGAACCCCGCTACCGAGACCTACGAGCGAAGGAGATCCCCGAGACAACCGCGGACGACGGCAAGGTGCACGTCAAGGTCATCAGCGGACAAGCGTACGGCACCGAGAGTCTGAAAGAACTGGCATACACACCCGTCTGGCTGCTCGACTTCACAGTCCAGCCCGGCGGCAAGGTCAAGCAGCCCCTACCAAAGGGCTGGAATGCCTTCGCATACCTCCTCAACGGCACCACTATCTTCTCTTCCGACGGCGTATCGCGGCCCATCGAACAATACCACAACGTTGTTTTCGAGAGCAACGGTGACAGCATCGAAGCATCTGTAGAGGAGGGTGCTGAGAAGCCATCACGGTTCATTCTCGTCGCTGGTCTGCCGCTCGATCAGCCCATCGTACAATACGGACCTTTTGTCGTTACGTCACGAGACGAGGTCATGCAGGCAATGATGGACTACCAAAGCCGTTCGAACGGTTTCGAGAGGGCGAACAACTGGGAAAGTGAGATTGGAAAGAGCATGGTACATTAAGTTGCTTAATGCTGGTAACGATTTCTCTTTCAACCCCTTCTTCTGTATATATCAAATCACGATACCTTCATTCCTATTCTCACAGCGTTTTCCACTACCCTATTTGCCGTCTCATTCCCTTTTTCTACGAACATCCATTCTACTATCAGTTGCCCAGGCACAACATCACGCTCAGCAAACGTTGTCTCATGATACGTCTCGTGCGTTCTACGATTGTCTTGCTAGTTGTCTCACAGACCTACAAATATCCCACCAAATGCACGATTCATCTGTTGCCTCTACAAGATCTAACAGACCTCAACCACCATCAATCTTTACCCAGGGCCGTCAAATTTACGATTCAATGGCAAATTCATCCACCACTCAAGCTTCAACAAGCTCAACGCTATGTTCGATGTGTCCGCAGCCCGGCACGATAGTTTGCCCTGAGTGCGACTGTAGCCGATACTGTTCGGAAGCTTGTCAAGAGGATGACGGGCCAACTCACAAGCTTCTGTGCGAATCGTATGAGGACTTCCACCAGAGCTTGGCTCCCTCTTTAGAACACTTTCGCGCAATATTCTTCTCAGAGGATGGACCGGGGCCTGTCTTTGTATGGCTACGCATCGAAGACTGCAATCAGCCTGATCAGGCGATGATCATCCACTGCAACAGCGTGCCATTTCCACCACGGTCCCAGGTCCACGGATCGCCACAGTCAACAGGCAGTAACGACGAAAACCGGGTTCTCCAACGTCCCCACGAACCAATCAGCCAAGTCGGATTTCTCGCTGCCGACACAAACGGTGAGACAAAATTCGCAGGGAGGCCAAATGGTAGCGTTGGAAGCATTGATCCAGAGCTAGTGGATGGCTACAAAGGACCATTGCTATTCTGCGGTCTGCGATACCACCTCGACATGATATCCTTCCGGCACATAATCGACGATCTGCGCTCGTATTGGTACGATGCCAGGATCGATGCCGAGAGGCGGATACAAGGCCCCATCAAGGGCGTTCGTGTAAATTGCCTCGGCGACACTGTCATCAGTAAGCGACCAAAATACGAACCGATTAATACACTCCACAACACCTTCTTCGACACTGATCGTATCTTTGAGATCCCTGTAAGTGACAAGATCGGCATCCCGTTAGAGGTACACCTAATCGAGCCTGCTGTACCGTGGAGGAATCGTCGTCTTTATGGCGACACGATTATCCCGTACTCACTCAGTTTCGACGCGCGGATACTCAACCCGGCGCAGTGGCGGATGCTGACAGGCTCGATTATGATCATCCGCAAAGACCTCAAGCCGCTTCATTGCGCCCACATAGACGCACTACGCGAGTACTGTGTACGCGAAAGCTTCAGTTCCGCACAACTATCCAATCTACCCGGGGGACCTCATGGTCCTAATCAAGACTTGACTCCATTTATCGACATCGTTCAGCAAGCAAGTTCACAGCAGTTGCTGTCCCGTGCGTCGAAACAGGGCTTTGCAGACTTCTATCTCAACTTCATGCAAAACGGTGGACACGCGAAGTATGGATATATCACTTCTCCTTACATAGTCTAGGGACCTGGGTTAGATAGCTAGATAGTGTAGGTATTGACTATATTAGTCATGACGCATACTTGATGAAACAAATTTGACTTTACAGTCTACGAATCCGCAATCTATTTTGTCCGCACGTGCGCACCCATATACCGTTCTCTGACTGGACTCAAAGACTGACACACCCACTCGAGCTATCTTCCACAAAGATACCACCGTAGATTTGTCCTTCACCGCGGAGAGGAATGTGCTCTTGATACCCATCATACACCACCGTCTCAGTCTCCGTAGGCTTCTTCGCAATACCAATCTGCAACTGCCCACCACCAGCATTGCTATTAGGCGTCGCCTCCGTAACCGCCTTCAACGGTTCATCACCCGAAGAGTAATAAACCTTGATCGTACTAATTATCTCGTCAGCGCCCTTATCCCCACCCAAACCTCATCGCACGAAAAAGAAAAAAAGCCACTTACTCCCCAACATAATCCAACTGCACCCCAAAATTCTGCCACTCCCCCCTCACTATCCTCGTCTGAAACACAAACTCATTCTTCGCATTCTGCACCTTCCACATCTCCCTCTCTTTCTTCGTATCCACGCCCGTCCCGCCATCACCGACCAACACAACACCACCCACAACCATGAATTGGTTACCGCTGTAATCACCCTTCTCATGCCACACGTTCATATACTCATGGCTCAGATTAAGCGGCCTGTGTTCATCCTGCCGGATACTCCAGTGGAACGTCACGACACCGTTATCCGAGGCATCAGCCCCGGCGTCGTTAAGATCATCTTTGAACAAGAGACCTGCGCGGCGGAACCCCGTTTGCAGGTTTTCGCCTGCGCGGAAGAGGGAGCCGGAGTCGATTGTTACTTCGAGTGGTTTGTGCAGGAGCGGGTTGTCGAAGCGCGATGGAGGTGTGGTCTTGGGGAAGAGGATAATGGATGACCAGGTGCGGTTTTCGCCTTTTACGTAGTCGGGGTTGTAGGGGGTGGAGCCGGTGGCTGTGTCGAAGGATGGGAGGGTTAGGTTCTTGGTGATGCGGCCGTCGAAGATTAGGGGGCATTTGATGTTACTTTCCGGGGCGTGAGTGTGGGGATAGAGAGGAGGGAGAGGTGGTACGGGTGCGGGTGCGGGTGCATGTGAAGGTGGAGGCGGAGGTGCAGGTAGATGCAATGGGGTTGCGAGGGCGACGCCCAGGAAGGGGAGGAGGTGGAGAAGCTGCATTTTGGACTGAGATTCCCAAGATACTGCCAATGCTCACGATGCACATTAGTATATTTTATATGTATCATGGCATATACGCGCTAGTGAGCCCTATGCATATTGGCTAATTAAGCAGAGCGGCAGAACACTATGGGCGAAGTTCTAGTGCAATCACATTTACCGGAACACCATTCGCACCAGGCCGACGGACCTGGACGCCGGATTCTTTCGCATCCTGCGACAAACATCCCACTTCTCAAATACACGGGTTGTACTTCTAGACGCGATCTAGAAGCTTCATGGCGCTATGAACGCATTAGAGCACTAGACCGCATACGGTGAAGAGACATCCCCATACTTCCATCGCCCTTCTTCTTCCATCCACTTCATCCAAAACCGCTCGAAACCCTCCCTACAGGCTTTTCGAAGTAAGACGTCATTGTGCATCTCGAAAGCCTCGTCGAACTTAGAGGCTAGGTTCCACGGCTCCTTGCTGTCTAGAATCTTTTGAACTGGCCCACTACCGATGGAGTATAGATATGCCATCAGAGCCGCAATGTGAGCAACAAACAATGGCTTCTTGTCTTTCCTCGCGACGTAAACACTACCCAGGCTGGCCGACCACTCAGAAGGGTTGAGTTGAGCGAAGCCGAAATTCCAAGCATGGTTCAAGCCTTTGTAACCGCCGCTCCGATTTCTCCATGGCAGCGCTGGGGGTATAGTGCGAGCGAAAAGACTGATACCTAGTTTGGACGCGATCCACATGAGGAGATTCTCGTCCTTTTCGTAGAAGCTGTCGGTGACTTTGCAAGCCTCGAGTGATGGACGATCACTGACCAGTCGATCACCGATGCAGTTGATGCGCACACCAGGGATGTAGCCTTTTCTTTTGTCTCCTCCAAGTTGGCGGAGTGATTTGTCGTACTCCATGTGCATCATGTCGACGATATGCCGGAAACTGGTCATATCTAGATGTGCGCGATGGCCGACGAAGAGTATGTTGCCTTTGCAGCATTGCAGTAGCTCGGGCGCAAGATTCCCCATGCTCTTGTTTCGGACGCCAGTCAATCATAGTTGATCCGGTAAAGCTGGGCAGGCTTCAAGGCAGCCAAGCATGTGGATAGTATCGTGCGAGCGTTTCAAAACGCAGTTGTAGGATGAGTTCCCACAGCTAACGAGTCCCTTGCTCTGGTCATCTGGCATTAGATAGTATTGCAGAGCAAAGCCCTCATCGCCGGACTGAGGCGTCATCCTCACCCATACCCATTCGGGCGCGGTCTTTCTGGCGTTGAAGAAGATGGCCTTGAACAGTCCGGGTTCAGGAGGGATCTGTGTCTTGTAATTTCGATAAGCCCTGCAGAGTAGCTGATGAACGGATTTGTCGTCCTGCAGACACTCTGTCGAGCAATAGTAGCTGCATTTGCATGTCGTACACATGCATGTAGCTTTACGGTGGCACATGCAGCAGAGGCGAGCAGGTGGTCTCGGGACTTCATTCATGACGACGTTGTTAGTCAGGTATCAATATGGTGTAAGATTAAAATAAGAAAGAAGGATGAAAGGCTAGGAATGCTAGAACAACCGTATGCATCTGATCTGAGAACGAGAGGGAAATGGCGCGAAAGTGCACCAAGCACCCACCAAGTGCTTTGACAATGGAAGCTTTCCCATGGAAGCAGCTCGATTTTAGCGAGACATTACAATCAATCTGCAGAGGTGAAAGTATTGAAGCCGTGCCAGGTAGTGCAGACAGCCCTGTGCATATGATCATAGCCGGTAGAGATTAGTCATCTTTCTCTTCACTTTTCCGGGTTGGGGTTGTTGCTCATTGACGCCCCAGAATTTGAGGAAGGTGATCGGTTTCCAGGTCCACTGCGCTTCGTCGTTCAAAGCATTGTCCAGGATCCACGTGATGACGGCGGTGAATGCGACAACCCCGATGGCGCTGACCCAATAGACCCAGAATTCACTTCGGTTCTGAGACCGCGCATGAGATGTTAGAAACTGTTCACTAACAATATGTTCATGGTGTTCTTACCGGTGCGTAGTTGTCTTGCATACTGAACAAGCTGCTCGTATATGCCAGGGGAATGAACAACAGGGCGAGAAGGTTGAGTCGCTTGACGCGTTTGGCCTCTTCCAAGTTCTGGCGGTTACCTGCGATCGATGCCAGTCCGGTCATAGCCTGGATTAGATTATCGGCGCGTTCTTTGAGGATCTTGAGACGGAAGTAGACGTATTGGAAGTCCTTCTCGCAGTCTTTCCACGTGTGCGAATGCAACCTGACGGACTTGTTGATCTGCCCATCTAGCGAATAGTCGAGACTGAGTAATGCATCTTCGAGATCGTCGCGATAGTTGCCGCACCGTCGCGAGATAGTCTGCAAGCTTTTCCATTGACCTTGTTCCTCAACCCAAGCAGTAGTAAGTCGAAGCTCCAGCGAAGGTAGCATTGCTTTGATGTAGTCGACAAGCTGAAGGTAGTGCGCGGCGACTATCTTCTTTAGGAAGATTGCTGATGTACTGGGCGTGGCCCATTCGTCTTCGGAAAACAGATCAGAATGTTGCTGATAGTAGTGGAGGAGGTCGTGCAGCATCGACTTATGCGGATGTTTGGTCTTGGTATGTATCTGATGATGAGGGACGGGTGGAATGAAGTCAACGTAACCTTCCTGAAAGGGTGCGTTCTCAAGTACGTCGCCTTTTTCGATTTCACGAAGCGTGTTGTCATCGGGATTGACTTCTTTGGGCGGAGGGTGTAGGTCAACCAGCTGGGGATCACACAATATAACCACTGCATGAGTCAGCTAAGATCACTCGGACTGCTCCTTGCTGATCTCGTCTTCCGAGCCGGTGTCGAGCTTCTGAAGCAGCGAGATATCTTCGAGAGTGATTCTAGGATCAAGTGTGTGAAGATCACGTACCATCCCAACCGCCATTCACGGTCTTGCGAGACCACCACCCGACTTTACGCCGTAGTATCCCGATTGTGCTGTTCTCCTTCTGACGGGATGCTGTCATGCCTACGTGCCGTCTCGTTCGCTTACAGAAGAAGTAACGATTCTCAAGTGCCCTGTTGAAGTGACGTAACTCGCAATACTGGAGCTGAAAAGCCTGCTGTGGGTCTAGCAAGCTGGGCTGGGGCAATGCATCGCTCACTGGTGTAAAGTCGTTACTCCAGACGCATGTCCTCTCTTGCCGCTGGAAGAATGAAGGATCCATGAAGAAGTGACCGCCAACGGCTGCGATAAAATCAGGTGCCAACCCCTCCATGATGTAAATGCGTCGTCGGTTGTGGTCGTGCCTCGCGGACTGAAAGTGCTTGCAAAGATCATTCGCGCCTCTGAAATCAGTCGTTGTGAAACCAGATGCTCCAGTAGCAGGAGCGTCCAAGAGCGCGACGAACACGTTGCCGTCTTTCAACGGCTCCTCCTTGTTGTTCGGATCGGCCTTTTTCAGGCCAGGATTAGATTCGCTCAAGGCCTCTATGTATCGGCGATAGGGGCCTGTTCAAGATTAACGACACCTGCAAATGGCACTTGGACTAGATATCATCTACCGTCAGCACACAGCCACGATCCAACTGATGGCTTTTCGTCTTTTAGCATGTTTGGGCTTGGAGTGACCGTCCTTGAAGTTGCAGCAACGGAGGTTTTAGCAGCTGTTGGAGCCTCGGCGATAGTCGCCATCTCGACCGCGTTGACGCCGTTGTTGGCCATCAATGGAGATGTGCGTAGCGTGCCCGACATCAGGGCCCTGGAAATATATTGGCTCTTGAGCAGCTGGCGAGAAACGCGTAGATGCTAAGGGTTCGAAACGCGTCGTCGTGAATAAGACGGGATGAAGGAAGCGAGCCTTCGATTTTCCGAAGGGGCCGCGGCTCTGCATCGAGGCGGAGCTTTGTCTGCATCAATTGGGGGCCAGAATTGCGCCACGTCATCCGTGCATTCACAAAGTTCCGCTTGTGGACGCATGCTCAGGTCTTGTGTCTGTATCGCAGGCACATTGAGGCTGTGAAACGCGGCCGGTGAGTATTGGTAGGCGGGGAAAACCTGAGGCAGCCTGGGCAGTTCGCGTCGCTCGCCGCTGCGCATCTCCAGGCGTCATCGAAGTCTCTTCTCGATACCTACGCATAGCTGAAGTTATGACAACATTTCTGCAGCGACGCTGTGGCTTGTCGCAGTTAATTACGCAGTCGAGGCAGCACCTAGGACTAGACTAGGGTGGAATTGGAGAGGCTGGGGCAGGTCACGTGAGAGATTAGCGCGTCAATCTTGCTCGCTGTTCCCCGAACGCGTTCACTGCGAGTTGCCACGGCGAGAAGTCTACACATTTTGTCGCAATTTCATCCCCACTCCACCACCGCAGCTTGAGAGTACCGTAAGCATAGACCTACGTATGCATCGATGATTTGCACAGTCACGAGTTGGAGCGCAGGCTTCACCTTATCTTACCCCGCATGCATGCATGTGGCACGACCTGGAGCATGATGTCGACTCTGGCTCGTTTGAGGCGACCGCCGTGATCCCACATGTCTCGCACTACTCTCTAGCCGCTTATACTTAGAGAGTCTTTCAGCCTTGCATCACGGAAAAAAATCGTAGTCGTGCCTGACCATCTGGGCACAGTACGACGAGTGCGCAAACATGAGGCTCCTCAACACGTATACCCTGACGCTCACGACGTTCATTGGTGAAACACCTGAGTACGTTATCCTCTCACACCGGTGGGAAGACGAGGAAATTCTCTTCGAGGATGTGATGAAGGTCCCTATCAGCGACATCAGCAACCCAGCCCGAGCCAAACGTGGATTTCCTAAATTGCAGGGGACCTGCGCACGCGCGCTTAAGGACGGATTCGGTTGGATCTGGATAGACAATTGCTGCATCGACAAATCCAGCTCTGCGGAGCTTCAAGAGGCGATCAACTCAATGTTTCGGTGGTACCAAGAGGCTCAGTTTTGTTACGCTTATCTGAGTGACGTTCCCAACGGACAGGCTGGATTGGATGTAGCATTCAAAGAGAGCTTGTGGTTTACCCGCGGTTGGACCTTACAGGAACTACTGGCACCGTGTAGCGTCGAATTTTACGCAGCCGACTGGACGTTTATCGGCTCTAAAGCATCGCGAGCCGAAGAAATCGCAACTATCACTGGGATCGCCCTTGCTGCTCTTCAGAATGTCTGGGTAGTTCAGAAGGACAGATATCTCGCTGCAGAGAAAATGTCATGGGCTGCGCATCGACGGGTCACTAAGTCCGAAGACATGGCTTATTGTCTGCTCGGTCTCTTCGATGCGAATATGCCATTACTTTACGGCGAAGGGGGACGTCGGGCATTTCGCAGGTTACAGCAAGTAGTCTTTGAGAGCGAACCCGACTATACGCTGTTCCTCTTCGCTACTCACGATAATACTGATGCGGATGGCCCTGGTGTGCCAGAGCATGCACCATTGCTCGCGTACTCAGCCAGGCAGTTCTGTAGGAGAACTCCATGTAAGGAGTGTGCGAAAGAGCCAACGTGCCTTCCTGATTACATCGAATATTCTCGGATGGGCAGCGTCGTTGACGCACAGTGGAACGCACTCAACGACCCCTCCCTGAAGTTGGTCAAAAGCGGTGTGCAGTTGAAGGTGCCTCAGACTGGATACAAACCGGGCCTCCAGTATCTTCCATTGATCACCAACCGCTATTCAAGGAAGCCAAGTGGAAAAAAGGACGAATTGGTCGCACTTTTGCCTTTGACCCTGACAGGATACAAATTCCACCTCTTTGGGATCGTTCTCGAGCTGCTTCCGACATCCAATTACGCTCGCCTTAACACAGCCCCTATTATGGTAGATATGAGGAGCCTTAATAGTGATGCCTTTGATCCCAAAGCTCTTATAGTATCCGACGTTTTCCTCTCTCCAGTCGAGCACATGGGTCCCGACCGGGCGCTTGCCTGTTTCGAGTTCCACAGTTCTTCATTCATGGTATCATCTTGGGATAGCAATTACGTTCATGTCCCGAACGAATGGAAACCTGAAAGCATCTTCACAATGGCCAGCACCGCGTCCCACGGCTTTGGTTTGATGATAAGGACGTCCAGTAGCTCTTCAAGAGTCTCTCCCGTAATTATACTGGGCGATTCCATAAAGAATATTCGACTGCTAGGCGTGGAAGTGCAAGGCGATGATGGCTCAACGTCGCGATTGGAATCAGAAGGGAGCAGCCTTGCAGATCGCATAACAATCCCTCTGGAATCAGCACAGGCTTGTATCCACGTTACTCTTCGCCGTTTATGCACCACATTAACCGGCCACATCCTTGATCAAGTCGATGTGCGTTTCCGAATAGATATGGAATACGTTGCAGACGATATGCACGGTATCGAACCTGGAAAGATGAACAAGGAGACGAAAGATAATGATGCGGACGAACTAGACTGAGACTGCATTCTACACACTTCTCTTTCGACTCAGATTGCTACGCATGCCATGTCGCACCGAGGCCGAGCCTGGCCTACATCCATGCCAGCGCCAAATCTCGAGCCAACGCACTAAGCTATATCTACGGATTCACTTCATTATCGCTTTCTTTACCACGCAACGAAAGGTAGCCCGATGTTGGCATCACGCCACAAAGACAGCCTCTCAGGGATCTTCTACCAAGACCAAAGCAAGAATGTGCGTATCAGTATCATTGGAGAATATCACCTGGTCCGTCAGTGTGGTGCTGGAGCGTGACGTCAAAGACTGATGTGTGCATCGGGCAGAGAAGGCGCTTTTCAGTCCATGACATACTGCACATGCTGCATACTGAACGGTGCGATCTTTCTACGCTTGCAAGATATTTCGTCATTCCATGCAGGCAATCTGATAGCGTTAAGCTCCATTCCAGGCGTTGATGGTCGCTTAGTTGAGTGTCGCGAACTTTGCGCGATCAGTCCAGCGGGTGCCTGGGCACCCCAAACAACGAAAATGTCAATCGGTTTGCCGACTACTACGTTATGATAAAACTATGCAAAGTAGACCAGCTTGCGTTGATGTAGGCTCTAGGGTGCTCAGCCTTTTGCTTGGATGAGGTGCAGATGCCTGCTGCATTGGTAGTGGTGGTGGCCCCGTGGAGCCCACGTCATCGGCTTTGCCCCGCTTTCGCCCCGTCATGTCCCCAAGTCACCTTCCAGCACGACACCGCGCGACACCAGCCGACACTAATACGCCCTCGTGCAAACAATTGCACTTCGAATCCGCAAACACACCAGTTCGGTCGTCAATTCGTCATAATCGCTGCTGTCGAAGATGCGCATGCAAGCACCCGTGGAAACGACCTTCTGAGTAAAAGGAACACGTCGCTGGCGCAATGTCTGAGACCAAATTATGTAAGAGGTGTCGAGAAGTTTTCCATGAAGGACCAGGAGAAGATCAAGACCAAGATCTCCAAAGACATCATAATAACAGCGAATCATTCTTCCAAGCAGTAGAACAAGGTTGTCACATATGCAATTGGACTTGGAGAGCTTATACTTGGTCCGGACGGTCTGGGCGACGCGCTTTCACGCCTCTTGGATATACAATGTACTATTGGAAGCCCTCCCTGGAAGCCTCAGGCGGTATACCTCCAGACCCGTTGAAGCTTGTTATCTTGGTTTACACTACAAAGGACACCTCTCAACGCGCGTTGACGTTTTTCTTACTGGATTCGAATGTCACAGGTAATATCCCTACGCGTTATAAGTATCGCAGCTGATAAGCTCAGAACGCCAGCCAAGCGCCATCCGTACTGAACTACATCCTGCGATAAAATCACAGGAAACGTTTTCTCTAATTCGGAAATGGATTGAGGAATGCTGTTCAGAGCATGCCGAATGCCCACCGCAAACAGGATGTAGGACGTTGCCGTCCAGGCTCATTTGCGTCCGGCCCATTGGTACAAGCCGCGAAGTGATGGCGAATGTATGTCGCGGCGATTCATTGCCTGCAGGAACACCATACCTTACTCTTTCCCACTGTTGGGGTAACGTCAAGTTTCTCACAACTACCTGCGCGAATCTGCTTTCGTTCGAGACATCGCTGCCTGTGAACAAGCTTTCCAAGACATTCCAGGACGCCCTATACGCGACAGTGACTCTAGGCTTCCAGTACGTCTGGATCGATTCACTCTGCATTGTGCAAGATGATCCTGAAGATTGGGAGCGAGAATCGCTTCGAATGCATGATGTGTACAGGAACGCTAGCTGTAATATCTCTGCTTCTGGTTTCTCCGATGGACAAACAGGGTTTATGCTGCCCCAGCGTTGTAATCGAAATGTCCCCGTGCTTGTCACTAGCAAGACAGGAAAGCAGCATTATGTCATCCGTGATAACCCCTGGGAGGAGATGAAGAAAGGCCCCATCTTTTCTCGAGCCTGGACGTTACAAGAGCAATTACTTGTAAGCGCTTCTGTTATCACACATAAGTACCATTCACTAATCGGTAGGCTACCCGTACCGTTCACTTTAATGATGATCAAGTGTACTGGCAGTGCAAGACAACGGCTGCAAACGAGGTCTGGCCTAACGGTTGGCTAAACAACTTGTTGGATCACAATTTTCGAACCATGACCAACAGCACCTGGCGGTTCAGCCTCAACCGTTTTCGTAGCGGTAACGTTGGTGTCAACTTTATCAATCTATCTAAATGAACTAACACACTACAGACTTCGCTTTACAATAGCTGGTTTGACATCGTTGGAGACTATACACGCCGCCATCTTACGTATGCTGCAGACCGCATCCCTGCCTTTGCCGGTATCACGAAAGAGTACACGAAACATGCCAAAGACCAGTACGTATGTGGTTTGTGGGACGGATACCTTCATCGGGGAATACTGTGGGGAGTAGCCCGAGATGGTTACAGTGTATCGCAGGACTCTACCACAGTCACAGTCTTGCCGAGTTTACCAAGTTGGTCATGGATAGGACTGGGTAAGCCCGTTCTCTGGACCCACTTCGCACGCATGGAAGCAGAGCATATATGTGACGTCGAACATTTCGATTACGAGGAAAGATCTCGACTACGACTTCGCGGCACTCCAATGCGATGCCCCAGCACGTTCAAAACCATTCGGATCATGATCGATACGAATGATCAGTACTACTGGGGCTCGGGACCAGACCGAGGCGGCTTCACTTTCAACTTTTTTCCTGATCAATGGTCCTTTCCGACCCCAAAGGAAGATAGCGTTGACAACGTCCAAGCCTCTGTCTCACGAAGGTTCGATCTTAGCAAGGAAAGAGAAGCAAGAAATTGGATAGAAAGCACTATCATCATGCCGATAATTTGTTCTGCCAGGCCAACATACCCTGGATGCACACGAGCTGGTCTCGTAGGGTGCCTTCTCTTACACGAGTTACCTGGGGACAAGCGTGGGGTCTACAGGCGGGTAGGGGTTGCAGAAGCTTTCAGAGATCTTGACTATAACGTGACCACTGAGATGCTCAAAACCCAGTTTTTGGCTTTGCCAAGAATTCTTGACCCCAAACTCTTCGAAGAGGTAGATGATCGCGGAAATTGTACGGTTACGGTTTTGTAGTGAGCTAGAGTTTTCAGAATTGTATTGAGAAGAACTCGTACTGCGCCAAGGGAACTCTCGGAAAGGCTATAGACCTGCGAAGAAGAAATGGGTATAATAAAGCAGCCGAATCTGTCAACTCCCCTCTACCGGTGTCCACCGAAAGCGTAATCACAAGATGTGTAGACTGTGAACGAAAGGGAACCCTCTACCGATGCGCCACGATAATCGACGAAAAGAGCACGTCACCCCAGATGGGCGCAAAAATATCGAATCATCCCGACCTGAAGCGACGACGCTGTTTGAGCACGCGCCCAGGTCATCCTCATTCCGCAGAACCAACTCGATCACTATGTACCCTCATGAGATGATCTACCATCTTGTCCTTGCGCGGAAAGGCTCTTCCACCCTCCCGCTTGCTCCTGTCGCATCTATCGATCGGGCACCAAAAGCGCGCATTGCGCACGTCGTGCTTGGAGGCGTGGTGCCTGCGCAACTCGTGGCTTCGACCGAAGGTTGCGCCGTTGCAGGGTGCGACATTGCAGATGTGCCTACAATTTCGTGCTAGGGATAACCTTGGCGTGATACCATCCATCAGTTGTCCGCTCATGAACGCATCGAGGTCAAGCGGTTGTGGGAGTTGCGCAACATGGGACGTGGTAGTGGGGTAATCGGGGAGCTCGTATGGTATGATATTTTGAAACGGGTCGAAGGCTATGCTTTGTTAGTCAAACTACGACGTGCATGATTCTATGCAGTACTCACTTAAGCTGGAAGCGGGGAAGATGTCTTGAGGAGCGAGCCCAGCGGAAGGGCCACCTGGTAAAGCAAAGGCCGGGTCGATTTGGTCGTTGAAGTACCATGAAAGGTCAGAGTTGGAATTGTAGTCGACCATAACCGCGATGGTGTGTGAAATACTGGGTCTAAGGTATTCGCGATAATGGGCACTAGTCCTTTGTATGATCGATGCGGCTGAGGTGGGGCAACGTTGAGCTGTGCCCTACGACGTCATACTATAGAAGGGCGTCAACATCAAGGCTGTGCACAACATGTTGCAGGATTGGGAATTCAGGTATGAGATCTGTCGTAAGCGGGGGATAAGGTTCTCCGACAGCACCCTGCTCACGTGTGCGCTACAGGATGCGCCTTTGCAATGCAAGGTAGCTCGTTGTAAAGGAAACGACGACACGGCGAAGGTCAAAAGCTGTCACATTGCAAACGTAGTCTCGTTCATGAGTATCCTCGGTGCGCCAAAAACGGTCCTGCAATTCCGACGTCAATTCAGGCTACGCGACTATGAGAACCTCCGATTCACAGATCCGGTACATAGGATTCAGAGTGCAGGTCTCTCATGCGATTCCTGTTATAAGGAAATATCTTGAGATCCTTCTTTTCCCTGAAGACTGCTTTCGTACCAGCTAGTAACCGATCGTTCTCTATGTATGGGTCTTGGGGATTGTCGCGGCCGTATATCGATATCAGGCCGGTTGATTCTCTCCACGACGAGGCCAGAGTGAACTTGGCTATTTCATTCGGGTAGATATTTTTCCTCGTTGGGGCTTCATCGTACAACTGTGTTCACCTCGTAAGTAAACGAGTTTCAAGCACGTTTCGATGCAAAGGACCATGGAACAGGAGCGCGTACAGCGGTATTGACACCAGCCCCTCCGCCAGTGCCAGAAGCTTCAGCGTTAGCACCGACTACCAGTCGATGTGGTCGGTTTGACGAAAGTACCACGGTGATCTTCTCGGTGTGTGCATTTTGTATCCAAATACAGTTCGGAACCATAGTGCGGAGAATGCCCTCACTATCGAGCGCAGTAGACGAGCGACGAGGGATCGAACTTCCCTTATAAATGACAGCTTGGGCCAAGAACTCCACGCCAGAAAGGCTGGGCCAATCAATGTCATGCATCTGAGCCCGAGCCAACGCATGCATAATCACGCACCCAGAAAGACGCATGCGTCGCTCACCGGTGTAGCCACGAAAATGCCACCCAATCGCATCGGTTTTTACCTCCAGGCAGATCATCAAGTTTCTCAAGTTGGCACATGCCACTTTCGACGTATGTAGTGTGAACAAAGTGAGCGAAGTTGGAATATGTTTGTACATGCAGAAAAACATTACGGTGGTGTCATGACATTAGTAGTCTCGTAGAGACCTAAACTTCGCAAGGGCTGTATTGAGCCCAGGGACACCAAACGCGGGGTATGAATAAGTTGTTGCCAAATGGCGCCTTGTCATGCACGATACAGCCGATGGCGGGCATGAATCAGAGCTCACCACTGATCAACTTTACAGTCCATCAAGCCCTCCATACCCCAGCCCCCACACATGCGCACCGTAGTATCGGTTGTAATTCGTCATCCACACGTGACGATAGTTCTTCATGGCCTCGCTCAAACGTTGGAGCAGCGCATCAGCCTTCTCTTGCTCTTCTGCCGATGCCCGCGGGAAGAACTTGGCTCGCAGCACGTGGAACCAGAAAGTCGTTTCGACAGTAGCCATCAGGCCGAGACCGGCGTAAACGGTGTAGCGGACCTCTGGTTTGGCGTCGCGGACGAGTTTGAAGAGGTTGAAAGAGGGGAGGGATGGGTTCTCGGCCTGGTGGTTTGGTCTTGGCGTCGGAGGAATGTGACCTTTGGTGGAAGTTGCGGAGACGTGGAGGCGGCGGGTGTTGGTGACTGCGGTTGATGGTAAATCGCGCAATCGAGAACCATTTCGTATCGGAGGAGCGATGCGCATCGTCGTAGTCTTTGAAATCATTCGTTGAGTCATTGGATCCTGGGGACAAGCTGGAGTGGTTCACGTGACGCGGGGTTGACAAGACGAAAGAGTTGACTCGATATGAAGATGCGCGACCTGCCTGGGACTCACCAGTATTCAACCTATATACTCACCTTGTCCGCCTACTCATCTTCGCCTCCTCACACCTGAGTGCGTCCAAGTCAGCGCGAAGTCATCGCGGAGGCAGCCGCCAAGACCATCGTGTTTGTTTTGGGCTTAAGATTGCGAGATATTGGCGTTCGCATGTGCAATCTTAGAATTTGCGCAGGGGTATCGAAAACGGTGCGTCCGAGCGCCGTTGACGTCGACGGCCTGGTGAGGGAAATTCGTTCACGAGCCTGGGGGATGAAGTGAAGGATGCGCGCAGAGTGTAATATCACATGCGCGTGCGGATCCGGGTGAGTTGTATGTGTGGGCGAAACAGGGAATGGGGTGGTGGAAAAGGCGGTGGCAGGCTTGTGGGCGGGGAGTGTGAGCTGGCAGGGACACCTGGGCAAGTGGAGCGTGGTCCGCCTGCCGGCATAGTCAGGAACAACAAATCAGCCCTCGACGCGCCCGACTAGCGACCACCACAACGCTTCACTCCCTCGACGCTTGCTTTTCCTGCCACCGCTCCCTCCCTCCTATGTAGCTCCTACTCGCTCATAATTAATTCGAGCATGAGCGACACCATCCACCACTCTGCGACGCATTTTTAACTCACCACGCTGCTCCCGCCGGCTATACACGACTTGTTTACGCGCACGGAGGGGTCGTACACATGGACTCGGCCGGCCTTGGTGCCATGCCAGGGCCTCGCTGCTGTTGTGGGAGCCATGACTGCGCTTTCCTTGCCCACAACGGAAGACTCTTAGAAGGACTGGAGAGAGATGTCTCCAAGGCTGCACAGCTGGGCCAGGTTCGTCGCTCACTCCCGCATGTTATGTTTGGCTGCCCTGCAGCGTAGCAGCGGCTCTTACTACCGCGCATGCCGCTAACCTTTGCCCTGCAGGCCCTGCTCGTCCGCCATGAGGCCTACGTCGCCGACTCGGAGCGCGAGCGCAAGGAGATGATCAACACCATCGAAGGGCTCGAGAAGGACAAGATCGAGCTCGAGGCCAAGAATGCGCAGACCATCAAGGCGAACCGCGACCTCCTCGACCAGCTCGAGCAGCTCAACAACGCCGTCGCCGAGTCGGACGCCCACATCCGCGCGCTGGAGGACACGCTGCGCTCCACCGAAGACGAGATCGACCGCCTCAGCTCCCTGGCCGCACGCACGCAGCTGCTCGAGCGCCAGCTGATTGACCTCGAAAGAGAGCAGTCGCAGATTCAGAGCAGCCTGGACGCCAAGATCGTCGACGAGCGCACAGCCATACAGCGGTGGAAGGTGGCCGAGCGGACTATAGGAGATCTCCAGGACCAGATCGACCGCATCGAGAAGGAGTCCCGCGCCGAGCGTCAGCGCCACATGGAGGTCGTGGCTCGCATGGAGCGGAGGATGGTCGTCGAGGGCGAACTCCACACCGCTGCCGGCAGACTCAAGGCCAAAGCTGGGACAGACAAGGGCGGGCCCAACGTCGTCTCCCACTTTGTTAAGGACATTCTACTCGATAACGCGAACCTGCAACATGGCATACTCGAACTGCGCGAGCTACTGGGAAACTCCAACGAGGAAGTCGAACGCCTGCGAGATCAACTCAAGGTTCACCAGCCTGTCTCGACATCACCCCGGCCCGATGAGGACGTCACGAGTCCGTCGCTGCAGAAGGAACTGGAAATGGAACAGGAAGCTTCGCTACAGCAGGAACTGCACATACACCACCACTACCATGGTCCGAAGGTCACCAGAAATGTACCCAAACCACCGGCGCAGCGACGGCCCAAGAAGAAGCGCTTCTCACTCACCCCGACGCACTTCGACCCGCCTGCAACGCTCGATCGCTCGTCTACGGCTACAATACTGGAACACACTGCTGTTACTGTGCCTAACTCGCACAGATGGTCTCAGGCCTCGACCCTCACGCCGGGCTCTTTCGCAGGGTCACCCGTCTCGGACTCACACCGTGGGTCCATGTACGACCGTGTCTTCAGCGAGGCGTATGACTCTTCCCGGCCCACCAGCCCTCCCGATTCCATCGACTTCCAGTCTCCCATGTTCGGGCCCGTCAAATCGAACGACTACAGCTCCGATCCGGATGCGTTGCCGCCGATGCTGCGAAGGTCGTCTGGCACTCTTGAGGTCGCTAAGGGCGGAAACAAGCATCTGCGACGGAAGTCTCGCGGCCTCATGCCACCAAATCTCTCGACAATGCGCAGCTCAAGCACGCCGATTGCACTCACTGCTAAGAGCAGTCCTGCGACGGCCGTCATATCAGCTGTTAGCCCCGCCAACTCCTTCTCAGATGCCAGCTTTACGCTCTCGCCCTACCTCCAACCGGAGCCTCAGGCTGCTATCCCAGAGGAAAGCGAGGACTCCTCGCTATCGACGGCCGAGCCATCGCTGATGATGTCCAACGGCGAATTCGAGCCCGACGACCTTGTCTCGCCCATGACCGCCATGCGCCCCGGATTACGCCGCCACGCGTCCCACGAATCCCTCATCTCAGTCTCCGGCATGGACATCCACACACTGCAGTCACGACCCTCGCAACTCCTATACTCCAATGCAGCGCGATTCGCAACGCCCGGAAGTTCTGGCTCCGTCGGCCCCGAACTCACACCCTGGACCGCTACCGCGCACGGCACGCTCTCGAACAAGACATCGCAGAGCAGCATGGCCAACCGCGACTTCCTCTACTCCAGCATCGCGAACCAGAAGCGTGGGCCCCGGAAGAGCGACGGCCCCCAGCCCTCCAGCGGCCCCGGTCTCACAAAGAAGGTCGGAGGCTGGGTCTTTGGCAAATGGGGCTCATCGCCTGCTCCCGTCACATCGCCGACGGCTACCCGCGCGCCTTCGATCCTTAGCCAGGAAACGCAGTCCACGCAGGACACGCAGTCGAGCGAAGGCACCACGACCACGAATGCGGACGGCTCGAAGAAGAAGGACAAGCCCAAGCTGCGGCCCAGCGGCGTGAACCAGAATGGACCGATCTGGGGCTTCTTCGACGAAGTCCCCGATGCGCCGGCGAAGGTCGTGGTCCAGGATTACGATGCGGATGCGCTTGGTGAGGCCTTGGCTGAGGCTTCATAAAACCGGACAGCGCGTGTGTATAAGAAGGATCTTTACATATGGAAACATCTCTTACCATCTATCTCCTTGGTTCTTTTTGGGTTCCGATAGATTGCATCACTGGCGTTTGGATTTCTTTTCTCCGCGGACTTTGGATGTCGATACGTTTGACGAAGCGCATGAAGCGACGAAGGACTTTTCTTCTTGTTTGGATACTGGATAGATGAGATACGAGCTGAAGATTGATACCCAATTTATGCGCCATGGGGACGTGGTGGGCTTGCTACTGGAGTCGAGTTTCTGATAGTGTGTTCCTTTCTGAAGTGTTACCCATCTTGATATGCTTACTTCGTTTGTTAGAGATTGCCCACATCATCAATGAAGGAAATTCGCCACGGTGACTGGCGTCTGGTACTACTCTGAAGCATCACTGGCTGGCTATGAGAAGACGACAACCTTAAGCACGCATCTCCAACTCCAGCATGCGGCAATTCGCATCCTTACCGGCAGTACACACGAAATCCTACTGAAGCTAGGCTCGCGTCTGCGGGTGCAATCGATACTACGCGATCCTTCATGATGAACGCAGATATGGACAGAAGGGGTCAATCCAGCGGTGAATGATAGTCAGTCGCGACATTCCTTCCTTTCCGATTTGGCATCAGTCGCGACATCGGTTACGGTAGTTTTCCTATTATCGACTTGCATTATGATCCTTCCTCGCCGTCCATTGTGCTCCTTCCGCGCCGGGTGTTGTTCCTTCCTCGCCGACCATTGTGTTCCTTCCTCGCCAGGAAGCAAGGGCAGTCTTCTTTTGGCCGTTAAGCAAGGGTGAGACTACGTCATCGCGACTTCCGCACTTACGCGCATCCTTCACATCCTTCACATCCTTCACATCATTCACTCTAGCACCACTTTGGTAAATCGTTATCGCGACCACCCAATCGCGATCTGCTTCTTAATGCAGTCGTTCCCACAGCTGACATCGGCACTTACCCGCCCGCGCCACTGGAGGTCTCGAATAGTGAGGTGATGCGGCGGTCTGTGAGTTTCGCACGGCGGTTCTTGTTGCGCATGGAGGCGTGGTCATCCCCAAAGCTGAGGTCGGTATCTACCCGCCCGCGCCGCTGTATCCGCTCAACTCGCGTCAACCGTTCGCGCTTCGCTTCTCAATTCAGTCATCCCTTAAGTTGAAATCGGTGCCTACCCGCCCGCGCCGCTGGCTGCTCCCGCGGAATCTGATTCCGCAAGATCAATCTCAGGGGATCGTACTCACCGCACCGCACCGGGGAGCGAAGTGAGATGGCATAGCGGTCAGTGAGCTACGCCTTAGCTGTTCTTACTTCGCATGGAGGCGCTATCTGCCACAGCGGGCAAGGTGCCCCATGGTAGGATGCAATCCTTCGCGTATCCACAATATCTTACACAATCTCTCGGCCTCTCAAAGCGAGCACATGTTTGACCGCCTCGGGAGGTGGAGGGGAGGTTGTGGAGGTCTCGCACACTAGACTGTCCTGGGGATCATTTGGACCCAGCTTCGAGGACGGTCATTCCTGAAGGATGAATGGAATCTATGCCGGAGCAGATCGAGAATGGTTATTTACGTGAGCTGAACAGAGCTGGAGTCGCCAACTCTGCAGTCCAAGCACGCTGCGCGGACCGCGCCTCCAAACAGAAACGATGACCTTCCCGATTGCCAACCTGGAAACATCAAGCGACGACATATGTACGATTCGTTTCTACGATACTGGAGCCGGCATGCGATGCTTCCCGGCGAAGATCACCGGATACTTTTCCACTCAGCTCA